TTCTATATTTAACAAGAATAAAACAAAAAACTAAAAAAAAACTAAAAAAAAGAAAAAAAGAAATTTTTATTTTTAAAAATTATTTTTAATTTTTTTTTATTTTTATATTTATTTTATTTTTAAATGTTTACACAAAAAATCAAATAAAACCAAAAAACATAATATTTTTATATTTACTGAAATATTTAGATAAATTTAATTAAATAAATTATAAATAAAAAAAATATAAAATAGAGTTTTTTTAAAAAAATAAAAAAATAATAAAAATAAAAATAAAAAAAAATAAAAGGTGGTTGTTTTTGCACCCAAAACTCACTTTTTTAAACTTGTTAATTTTTTTTTTTTTTTTTTTTTTTTTTTTTTTAAAATTTTAATTTAATTTAATTTAAAATAGACGAAATGTGGGGGGAGAAATATAAAAAGAGTGGGGTTGTGTGTAAAGAAAGATAAACATATTGGGTTTATTTTTTATCGTATATAGGCATGTCTATAAATTATTTTAAACAATAAAATAATTATAATAAACATTTAGATAAATAAATAATATAAAATGACCACCAACAATATTGATTGTATAAATTATCCTCTTTAAAATTTATTATTTTATATTTATAAAAAAAAAAAAAAAAAAAAAAAAAACTTATTATATTATAATCTATCAAAAAATATAATTAAATGGAAAATTTAATAAGTTGGAGAGCAATTACCAATATTAGTATTTTGGGAATTTTTTAAATTATAAACTAAAGTTTATTATAAATAAATTTTGATTTACAATTATGTTTGTACAGAAAGAAAAAAAAAAATAAAAAAGAAATGGTGTAATTAAATCAAAAATATCAAATGAAATTACAAAATAAATGTGTTTTTAGTGTTAAAATTCAGAACTTCGATGAATTACGCAACAGGGGCGTGTATGAAAAAAAAAAATTAAAAAAAAAATTAAAAAAAATTAAAAAATAAAATTTTTTTTAAAAAAAAAACAAAATTTTTTTATTTTTTTTTTTTCAATTTATTTTTTATAATATTACACAAAAGAGATAAAAAAATGTTAGCACGTATTGCAAGAGCTACTCTTGTAAGTGATCATATTAATAACCACAAGCGAACGATCAAATATTAAGAATAACAATAAAGAGGGTTATGGTTAAAAATAATATAATAATAGTAAAAATAAAAATTATATAAAAAAATAATATGCAGAAATATCATCACCATCACTAAAAAAATAATGGAAAAATAACAATAAAAACAATTATAATAATTTTTATTTTTATAGACAACAGAGATCATCAATAATATATCATCAAAACAGTTTACAAAAAAAAAAAAAAAAAAAAAGATTATTAAACAGCAGAAAAAAATAAGATATACAGATGCGATACACATTATCATTTTATAGATTCTGAAAAAAAAAAAATTTTATTTTTTGTTTTATGTTATATAATTTTAAAATAATATATTATTAACAATACAAAATAAATAATCGTCACATATTCTAAAAACCACATCATAACACAACACAACATAACACAGTTACACTCAACAATACCATATACAGATATTTAAAAAATCTAAAATCAACAATTGTTAAAAAAACAAATCAATAATATTTTTAATGAAAATAACCCTCTCTATATTATTTGATAATAAATATAATTAAAAATTAAAAATATTAATATTTTTTATTCATCTTTTAAATATTTAATAAATATTTAGAAATCAAACAGATGTTTCACCAACACCAGACCAGGTTTAATGGCTGCTAAAAAACCAGTTTCTGCTAAAGAAGAAATTGAAATTTTAGATCCACTCACCCCAGAAATCAAAGATGCCATCAAACAATCAAAGAAACAATTCCAAAGTGTTATTAAAAACTTAACTTCAACCGAAGGTAAACCAATCCAAATCACTGGTTTCAAACCAACCATTCAAATTACCACTGCTTCAGGTAAAATCGCTCACGCTATCTTTGATGCTGCTGCCACCATGAGATCAGTTGGTATTGTTGCCAAAGATTTCCAATTAGTTGCCGATATCATCGAATCAACCCCATCATTCAAAGATCTCTTAGAAAGTGATATCAGCAATAACGAAAAAATCACCATGCTCGAATTATTATCAAATGCTACTGGGTTATCACCAATCTCATCATTCTTTGTCTGTAAGTAGCAAAACAAAAAACACGATATTCGATGCACATTTATCACATTCTATTTTTTCTTTTCGCACAGACTTTATGACTTATGAACATAACTTTGGTTTAATTCTCCCAGCCATTAAAGATTTCAAACGTTTAGTTGGTTCATTAGATACTGAAATGTCAATCAGATTAACTGTTGCCAAAGAACAAAATGGTGAAGAAAAGGCCTCATTAGAAAAAACTGTCAAATCATTCTTCCCACCAGAAACCCAATTCAAATTCAACTACGTTGTTGACCCATCAATCCAAAAAGGTTATATTATTGAATCACCATTCCTTACTCACGATGCTTCATTCGCAAATGCCGTCAAGAAAGTTGGTGAAGAAGAAAATATGATCATCAGCGAACTTATTGGTGATATTAAAAAAGGTATTAAATCACAAACTCTTGTTTGGGAAACTAAAGAATTTAGAGAAAAATATTTAACTTTTGATGAAAAAGCTTACAATGCCAAATTAGAATAAACACTCTTTTAAATAATAATAATAATAATATAAATAATCAATAATAAAAAATTGGGATAATCAGAAACAAATCAAAAAAAAAAGTTGAAAAAAAAAAAAACAATACATAATTAAAATAGACAAAAAAATAGGTTCATTCTTTTTTTTTTCTAAATAATAATATTTATTTTAAAATAATCTCCTTTTTTTTTATTTCTTTTTTTTATCCCATAGTATATAATATAAAATCATAAAAAAAAAGTAATTTATATAAAAAAAAAAATAGTAATAAATAAATTGTATTTTCGCGTTACTAAATTAATTTATAAAAAATTGAAAACCAATTTAAAGCAGTGTTTTTTTATTAAGATTGTTCTGGATTGCTTGGTGCTGTTGTTGTTATTGATGTATTGTTTATATTACAATTGTTTAAAATATTAAAACCGCTAACACTGCTATAACCACTATTGTTATTACTATCTAGTTGTAATAATTCGCCATAAATTTCAATGCCACCAATTACCAAAAAGTTTCTGTTGTTTGAGTTTTTACCAGTCTGCAAAATTCTAAAGTATCTGTAAGCAGTTTCACAACCTGTGATTGGCCAAGAATGAGTTGCATATTTAAAGTTTAATGATAAATCGTTGGTATGTCTTTTTAAAACAGTCCACTGTTCACCATTAGTTGAGCCTTGAAAATCCCATGTTCTCAATGAGTCTGATTTAAACGATAAACCATGTCTAATGGTATAATAATGTGGCACTACTGATCTATTTGGTCCTACATCAATCATAACCCATGATGCTGGTACATCTTTAGTCCAAAATGCATTTGGTGTTATTTCGACAATATCATGTAGGTTACCTTTATCAACACTGGATGATGTTATCTAATATAATAATTTGTATTAGTAGTGTTAATATTAATATTTTTTAAAAGGTTTAATGATTACCTTTATCTTTGAGGTTAGGTGTGGATTGGACCATTTTTCTTTATTACCATCGGTGGATATCCAAAATATAATACCTTTATAATCAAAGTCATATTGATATTCAAATAAAATAGATTGAGGTGGTCTTGGTTGATATCTTCTTAAAATACTTTTATCTGGTTGTGACTGTTGTTGTTGTTGTGATAGGGAGGATGAAGAGGAGGCAGAGGAAGAGGAAGCCGAAGAGGAGGAGGCAGATGCGGGTAAACCGTTTTTGTTTGGTTGAATAAATGAAGATGCTGTTGAGGAGGATGATGGTGAGGAGGATAATGGTGCAGAAATGGTTATTGATGAGGAGCTGGATTTATTTGTTGATTTTGTTGGAGAAACTGATAAGGTTTTATTTGCGCTATTGGATACATTAATGTTATTGTTATTGTTATTATTGGTATTATTATTATTATTATTATTATTATTAATAATACTTGATTTCTGAATAGTTAATGATGGTTTTGATTCGAATTTCTTTAATCTTTCTAATAAGGTTTCGAATAAAATTTCTTTTGGAATTAATGGATTCTTTGTAACTAAAGCTAATTGGTCATAAGTCATCCATATATATCTAATTTGAGACATTAAATCTGATACCTTCAAATTATCAGTTATTTCAGTGTCTAATGTGATTTCATCTTTATCTTGATCATCAAAAAAATTCTCTATAAAATTTAAAACTATTCTATATAAAGTATATTCGCTTTTAACTACTAAATAGGAGTGATCTAATATTTTATAAAAAATTGATGGAGGTAAAAATGAAAAGTCACAATAAATTAAATTATTATTACTATTATTATCTGATAAATTATTATTATTGTTATTATTTTTGTTATTGTTATTATTATTATTACAAGGTTTGTTTTTATTTATTAATTGTTCACAAACAAATGTGAAATTTTTGGCTATTATAGTTATACATCTTTCAGTTATTGTTTCAAAATGAAATTCTATAGAGTATTTTAAAATTGTTAATACATTCTCTCTATGTAAATTTTGATCTAAGAATTGAGTACAAAGGTTTTGAAGGTCGCGAATTAGATAGTGATCACTCATCGCCAGGAGTGGAATTACATTCTCTGGTGATAAGTAAATGATACCATCATACATAAAGTCTAGAACCGCTGGAAAAACATTGAATGGATCTGGTTGTCTTAGTTCTATTATATTCTGTTGTGATTCTTTAAAATTTGATAATAAGAGTCTTGAAAAGAATTCAGAACTATTGGCCAATATAATCCTATGTGTTGGGTATTCTATACTATTACATATTAATTTTACATCTGTATATTTTTTAAAATTTATTAATGATTTAAATCCACCATTAAAAATTTCTGTCATTATTATATTTATTTAAATGTTATTATTATTTTTATTTTTATTATAATTTTATTATTATTATTAATATTTATTAAAACTACTATTTAAATTATATTGTATATTATATTAAACTATTTAATATAGTATAATTAGTAAATGTTTTTATTTGTATTGTTTATTGTTTTAATTTATTTATAATAAAGGTTTTTTAAAATTTATTAATTTAAAATGTTTTATAAAAAACAAAAAAAAATAATTTAAATTTAAATAAAATTAAATTAAATTAAATAAAAAACAAAAATTGTTACTATTTTTTTTTTTTTTTAGTGATGGAAAGAAATAATTAAATGTGTGGGTAAAAAATAAAATAAATCAATTTTTCAAAAAAAAAAAAATAAAATTTAAAATTAAAAAAAAAAAAAAAAAAAATAAAATTTTCTGAATTATTTTTTAAATTAGAAACAACAAATATATAAACAAATATAACAATTATAGTTTGTTATAATCGAAAAAAAAAAAACATTACAACAACAACCCCTAACCCACACTACAAACCCCTCTTAAATATTAAATTTTAAAAAAAAAATTAAAGAAATTAAAAAAAAAGAAAAAATGAAAATTTTCATTTCCCCCTCTTCAATATCTTTTTCAATAAAAATTAATAAAATTAATTAATTGCCATAAATACGAAGAGAGACAAAGATATTTATCTATGTAAATATAGGAATCTTTCATATCACTTTTCATTTTACATGCATTATAAAACACAATAAAATAACAATGTCAAGTTTTAAAAGGCAGTTAGTTATATTGCTTAAAAAGAATTATTTAATCAAAGGAAAATCAAAAATCAAATTTTTTATACAAACTTTTACAGCACCCATTCTTGTATTGGGTGTTCTATTTGGGGTTTTATGTGGGTATTTTAATTATTTTAATCAGATTCAATAAAATGGATTTGATATTAATATTTTCTTTTTTGTAAAAGATTTAACATTAATTATAACACCTGATTATAAAGAATATCCAGCCAGTGGATTTACCGAGGAAATTAGAAAAACACACAAATTATTAATAGGAGCCAAAGATGGATTATCAGAGCAACAATATAATATTTTTTTAAAATTAAAAGAACAGATTCGATTTAGAAAACCTAAATTATCAGATGAACAAATAAGTAAGTAAATTTAAATATATATTATTTTTTAAATTTTTTTTTTTTTTAAGTCTGAATCAATTTTTATTTAATAATATTACTAAAATTATATTATGAATTTTAGACAACTATTTCGAATTTTTTAATAAAAGTAAAGATATGGATAACTATTTCCATGATCCAGATAACTATCGTGGTGTTTTGGGAGGTGTTTGGTTTGAACACACTAATGACCCAAAGATTGTAAAATATAGTGTTAGAATAGATTCAGACTATGTAAATAATAACGAAGTTCAGTACCAAGAAAGAAAAGATTCTCAAATTTACCTTAGACATTCATTTACCCAAATCCAGAATGGTGTGGATCAAGCAATTCTGATGGCAAGTGGAAAAGATTTACCTATTTATGTTTCTGCCCAAAGGTTTCCAAACCCTTACCAAAAACTATATCAAACCTGGACAGGTATGTACTATATTAATATTTTTAATTTTTTAAAAAAAAAAATATTTACAAAATATTTTTTAAATTATATTTAGATGGTAGAAAAATGCTTTTTAAAAATACAGCAGGTGTATTTATTAGTGCAGCATTGTTTTCAGGGTTATATAGTTCAGTAATCACTATGGTTTTAGAAAAAGAGAACAAGATTTTAGAAGGAATGAAAATGATGGGATTAAAGCTTTTTTCATATCATCTCAGTAATTTTATAACATCATTTTATTCAATTTTACCATCAATATTTTTAGTTACAGGTGCTCTTTCAATTGCGCAGTTAATATATTCAACACCATTTTATATTTTGGCAATTACGATCGTACTATATGCCATAACATTAATTTTATTATCATTTATTCTTTGCAAGTTTTTAAACAAATCAAAATATGCTGGTTTACTTTGTTTTGGTATAGTTTTGGTATTATCTGGTGTCGGGTGCATAATAAATAATTTGGATATAAATGTAGGCATCAAGGCGGTTTTATGTATAATATCTCCAATGGGTATCACAATTTCATTTTATTCAATGGTTTCAAAAGATTTACAATTAGCAAAAGCTGAACATCCAAAATGGGATTATATTTTATCAGAAAAGTAAGTACCAATAATTCTATTAAAATAATTTATTTATACACTTATTAATTAATTAATTTTTTAAAAAGTTATGTTATTTTAGTTTTCGTTCTCGATATTTTATTATATTGTTTTATAATTTGGTATTTAGATAATATTATATCTGGGGAATATGGCACATCTAAACCATGGTACTTTTTTTTAACAAAAGATTATTGGTTAAAAAATTCAAAGACAATCGATTATGAATCCACACTTGGTAACAATGGTAATCAAGATATAGAAGAATACCCAACTGATAAAGATCCAAGTATATGTATCCGAAATTTAAGAAAAGAGTTCAAAACTGGTGATGGTCTCAGAGTTGCCGTGGATAATTTATCTTTAAATATGTATCAAGATGAAATTCATTCTTTTTTAGGTCAAAATGGAAGTGGAAAGTCAACAACAATAGGAATGCTTACAGGTTTGATCCCACCAACAAGTGGTGGAGCATTGGTTAATGGCTATGATATTCACACAAAGATCGATGAAATTAGAAAGAGTTTTGGTATAGTTTTACAAACAGATATCCTATATGATAGTCTAACAGTAATGGAGCACTTGGAAATATTTGCAGCAATTAAAGGTGTTACCGATAAACATTTGGCAAAGAGCGAGGCCAGAAGACTTGCTTGTGAACTGGGTTTAGAATCAAAATTAGATTCACCTGTATCATCTTTATCGGGAGGTCAAAAAAGAAAACTTTGCCTATCAATAGCTTTCATTGGTAAATCAAGTATTATTTTATTGGATGAACCAACTAGTGGTATGGATCCTTTAAGTCGTCGTCAAGTTTGGGATTTTTTAATTAATAATAAAAGAGGGAAAACAATTATTTTTACAACTCACTATATGGATGAAGCCGAAATAGGTGACAGAATATCAATTATATCATTTGGTAAATTAAGATGCGAAGGTACAAGTTTATTTTTAAAAACTAGATTCGGTGTTGGTTATTTATTAACATTGACTAAAAAGTCAATCGAATGCAAAACCAGTTCAGTAGTATCAATGATTCAATCATATATACCCGATGCAAAAGTATTATCCGACGCTGGATCAGAATTAAGTTTAAGAATACCGAAAGAAAATGTATCTTCACCTAAATTTCCTAAGTTCTTTGACGAATTAGAAGCTAGAAAAGATAGTTTGTTAATTTCAAGTTATGGCTTTTCAGTTACTACTCTTGAAGAGGTATTTCTAAAGATAGGTGAAGAAGTAACTGGGAATCAAACATTTAACGATGCTTTTGTAAAAAAAGCATTACTTACAAATAGTCGTGGTATCAAAAGTGGCCAGCAATTAAAAGCAATTTTTATAAAAAGATTACAAACATCCAAAAAAGATGTAAAGTCACTTGTTTTATCAATTGTTATACCGTTGGTTGTTTTATCGGTCGGGCTTCTTCTTTATAAAACAATGGGAACAATAGAGATGTACAACACTGTAACCACACCATTAGTTTTTTCAATTGACAGACTGGGTGAAAAGTTTGATATACCATTTTCAATTAAAGACGACGACTTAATTCAATCCAATGCAACATTTGGATTTCCAATCAGGGCTAGCTTTATAGAAAGGGCAAAATTTAAACAATATCTACACGATAGTTTCGAAGATAAACCAGGTGCATTATATTTCCCAGGGTATAAACAAATAGAGGGAGTCGAGTTCTTTCACTATAAAGTCTATTATAATAGAAATTATTTACATACTTTACCAATCTATATAAACTATGTCAATAATGCAATTGCAAATCGTTTAGCAAATGTTCAAATCATAACTGAAAGTAGGCCATTCGAGCATATAAAAAGCCAGTTTGAAAAAGCCACCGCTGACACCAATTTTGCAGCAACTATATTCTTTATCGTATTTACATTGGCTGCATTTTGTCTTATTGCTTCATCAGCAGGCGGTAGTATAACTCAAGAACGTTCATCAAAAACCAAGCGTTTACTCTATATATCCGGTTTAAAGAAGCCTGTTTATTGGATTTCAAATTTACTATTCGATTATACCCTGTCTTTTTTAATTGCTGCTTTTTTCACTGTGGTCATAGTATTCATAGATGATAGGTTCCAAAAGAATTTTTCATTATACATGTCTGGTATTTCTCTTTATATAGTTTCAATTATCCCACTGGCTTATTTACTATCATACAAGTTTAAAACTCATGGCATTGCTACAGGTTTAATATTCGCAATTGTTTTTGGCATTGGTCTTATAATGATGGTTATCAGTTTAGTGTTAAGGGTCTGGGCAATTAAAGACAATAATTTGGAATTTGAATCAATGACAGATATAATAGAGATGGTTTTTTATTCACTTTCACCAACATTCTGCTTTGCAAAGGTTTTAATTATTATTACCAATTTTCCAGGTATAACAAAAGTTGGAACAAATTATATAGATAATTATTGGAGTCTATATTATGGTTTTAGACCAATAGTAGCTCTAGCATCTCATTCAATTATTTGGTTGGTATGGATACTTGTATTAGATAAAATTCCCGAAATCAAAGGCAAACTATACTTTGATAGAGATATTAGACCTCCAGTACCACCACAAAATGAAGATTCAGATGTTGCTTATGAAAGAAAAAGAGTATTTTTACCAGAAACACAAAATGACCCAATTATAATCAATGGTCTTCATAAAACATTCCCATCTAAAAGTGGGAATAAAATTGCAGTATTTAATACATCGTTATCAATTCCTCAAGGTCAAACATTTGGATTGTTGGGACTTAATGGTGCAGGAAAATCCACAACCCTTTCAATTTTAACAGGTGATATTCAGCCAACATGCGGTCAAATTAAAATAAATGGTTATGATTTAAAGAGCGAAAGAAGAAGTGCATTAAGATCAATTGGTATGATGCCACAATTTGATGAATCTTTAGTAGGATTATTATCGGCAAAAGAACAATTGACACTTTACTGTAGAATTAAAGGTGTAGAGGAATGTCAAATTAAGGACACAGTTGAAGCTTTTATTCAAATGATGCGTTTAACTGATATTTCAAATTCAAATGTTTCAACTTACTCTGGGGGTAATAAAAGAAAAGTATCTCTTTCAATTGCTTGCATAGGCAACCCATCATTGGTATTATTAGACGAAGTATCATGTGGTGTAGACCCGCTCACTCGTAGATTTATGTGGAGTGTTGTAACAGAATTAAAGAAAAATAAAGTCATTCTCTTAACATCACATAGCATGTTTGAATGCGAAAATCTCTGCGATAATGTTACAGTGATGAAAAATGGGAAACTTATTTGTCTTGGATCAATCCAGCATGTCAAAAATAAATATGGAGATGGTTATTCACTCGATGTTAAATTTAAAAGAGAATTCTCAGATACAGGTATCGAACAAGTTTTAAACCATTTCAAAAACTCTTCATTAATAGATAGCCATGATTTAATAGCATCATTTGAATTACCTAGAAACCTAAAAATCTCAAAAATATTCCGTATCCTCCAAAATGAATTAAAGCAAATATTAGAAGACTATTCAGTTTCTCAAACATCTTTAGAACAAGTATTTTTAAAATTAACAAATCCAAGATTTAATATCAATAATAATTAAACTAATTGATAAAGTCTATAATAAATACTATTTAGTTTATTGCTATTTTTGTTATTTTTAATATTTTTTTAAAATTTTTTATTTATATAATAATAGGTCTTTATTTGTTTAATTTGTATTTATTCAATCGAATTTTGTAATGGGTTAAATTTATTTGGGATTGAAAAAGCTTGAGTTAAAACTGAAGCATGTTGGGATATATCTCTTGATAAATGAGTAATTTCATCCTCTAATTGAATCCATTTACTTTCACCTGACATTAAACCAGTGTTTACAAAGAAGCCAAAGTCTTTTTGAATTTGTACTAACGAATCTAAACGGCAAAGATTTTTTAGCATTGTTAAAGTTGCAGTATCTACTAAATTGCTACCACTTTGTTCTACAATTTTCTTTAAAAAGAATGATTGGGTTAAACGATCTACATTGGCTTTTGTGATTCTTATACAAAGTGGAAGAGATTGATTCCATACTGTAAACCAACGTTCTGTATTTGGTTCAATAAGTTCATCATCATGACGACCATAGAGACGGGAATGAAGTTCTTTAATTAAAAGGAACTCTCTCTTTTCTAAAAGCCATTGATGGTAGCTGATATTTGAAAGTTGATTAGCATTTGTATTTGGTGTTGGTGGCTGAGCTGTAAGATTATTAATATAAGCTAATTCACCCTTGAATGAAAGATGTTCTACTGATTTCTTTGATCCTTTTACCACTTGGTGATAAAGACCTAGTAGATATTTTGCAACTTGTTGGGTTAAAACAGTATTATCGCCTTCACCAGTAGTAACTAGATCAGCATGATTACGTAACATTGAAACTCTATTACATAAACGGAAACCTTGACCACCCATTACTTCTCTGCAGCTTTGTAAAGCTTCTACTGCAGCCCAACTAGTAATTGCCTTAAAACCTGAGGTATAGCTATGAATAGTTTCTTTTGGATATGTTGGAATTAGATCAGCAATGGTCTTATGGGCCATATCAAGAGCATAGGTACGGGCGATATATGGTATTAAACGACGATGGGTTGTACTATATGCTATAATGGGTAACTCTTGTTTTGATTTAGTAGTTGCACCAAATTGATGACGATTCTTGGCATAATTAACAGCAATGGATAAACCTGCCTTGGTAAAAGCTAAAGAATTTAAAGATAAGCAAGCACGACCAATAAAGAAGACACTCATAGTCATGGCAAAATGACGATTTGGTGGGATGTTGCTGTGATATTGACCTTGAGCATCAACTTGACTGAAACGATCCAACATATTCTCTCTTGGGATTCTAACGTTCTTAAGTAAAAGACCACCATTATCTATACCATTGTAAGCATCCTTTAAACTAATATCTCTAACTTCTACACCATCACAAAGTTTACCATATGGGTATTGGTTTGATTTTTCACCTCTAATTGGAACAACAAATGCATGAATACCTTTATCTACACCTCTTAGTATGAGACGAGCAAAAACTGTAGCCATTTGTCCGTGTCTACTAATATTACCTGGCCAGTATTTTTGAGAATTCCATGTTGGTGAATTGATAATAAACTCTTGATTAGCTTCATCATAAGTGGCAGTTGTCTCTAAACCATTAACATTTGAACCATGGCCCAACTCTGTTAAACCAAATACACCTAAAATACTTCCATTTTCAATTCCATCTAAATAACGTTCGTGATGTTTTTTAGTTCCTAAAAATAATATTGTACCACCCCATAAGTTATATTGAACTGCGAATTTTAATGATACAGATGGATCACATAATGAAATAGTTTCAAACCAATTTAAAAATTTCTTTGGGTTCTTTTCCATGTCACTAAGCTTTACGATTTGTAATTGAATGATTTCCTTACATGCTTTGAGTGTTTGTTCACGATGTTCATCTGTATGGATTGACTTGTTTAAAAAAATTTCATCGAATGTTGAACTTTCTTCAAATAGTTCTTTTAATCTATCACGATCAAAATGATATTCCCCATCTAAAATTGATTTTAATGTTTTTAAATTTGGTGTTTCATTTAAATGTGGATGAATATTTTCAATATCACTTGTAACTTTGGTTAAATGTTTTAAGGTCTAAATAACAAATTAAAAAATGAAAAAAAAAAAAAAAAAAAAGGCAATAATTAGTATAAATTATAATCATGATACTTTAATTAATACCAAAGTTATATACAAACATTATCGATTCTTCTTAATGTGCTTTTATCCATTTAATCTAATCTATATGTATATATACCAATTTAATTTATGTGTGCTAAAAAACAAAAATTAATTAAATTTTTTTTTTTTTTCATTTTTATTTTTTTTTTAAAATTTATTTTTTTAATTTTTTAAAATAATTTTATAAAAAAAAAAAGATTTTTTTGAAGAGTTTTCCAAATGAAATGTCATTAATATCCAATAATAGATAATAATATTAAAATTAATTAAGATTACTAAAATTTATCTACTTTTTAAAAAAAATTAAAATAATATTAAAATATAATTTAAAAAAAATTAATTAAACACCCCAAAAAAAAAAGATGTGATTTTTTTTTTTAAATTTTTTAATTTTTTTAAAACTATATAAATCGATATTTTTTTCAATTTTTTATTTTACATAATCAAATTCAATATAATTGTTATAAAAAAATGAAATATTTTAATATATGTATTGTTTTAACCTCAATTTTATTAATATATATATCAATATTAAAGCCATATTCAATCTTTAGTAATTCGTATCAAATAGATCTCGAATTTCAAGATGCAGAAATTAAACCATTTGATCATGCTTTATATAATGACGAATCGTATCACTTGGAAAAAGGAAAGTTTGTTTCATTAGGTGAAATCGAAGGTCCAGAAACTATGGAGTTTTCAAAATCTGGGGATAGATTATACTTTGCTCTAAAGAATGGCGAAATCCGTTATTTAGAAACACCATTAAATATTATAACAAAGGAACAGTTGCTAAGCAAACAAGAGAAGTTCATGTCCAAGACCAAATACTTATGCACAGCTGGTAGACCATTGGGTGTTACAGTAGATAATGAAGATAATGTTATTATTGCCGATGCTTTGAAAGGTTTATTAAAATATGATATCAAAACTAAAGATTTACTCATTTTAACCTCATCTGCCAACGGAAAAAAACTAACTTTTGTAAATGTAAGTATGGTATATTTTATTAACCTTTATTACGGTTTACTAATTGTTATTTTTTTTTCTTCACTTTTAATTATAGGATGTTGTTGTTGCTAAAAACGATATGATTTATTTCAGTAACTCAAACCCAATTGCTCCATTCTTAGATAAAAATGGTGACTATAATACACATGTTCCTTCTTTCTATGCAATTATGGGAATGATAAGAGGTGGTCAACTTTTATCCTATAATCCAAAAACTAAAGAAACCAAAGTTTTAATGGATGGAATTGCATATGCCAATGGTGTCACTCTTGATCCAAAACAAGAAAGTGTTTTTGTTGCTGAATGTGCAGGCTCTAAACTTTATAGATACTGGATTAGTGGTGAAAAAGGTAAAACTTTTATAACCTATTTTATAAATATAATAAATTATAAACAAATTATTAATTATTTTTTTTAAAATAGCCGGCAAAAGTGAAGTTTTTATTGACAACTTACCAGGTTTCCCAGATGGTATAAATCAATCAAACGGTAGATTGTACATCTCTATTTTTAGTAATAGAACACCATTTGGAGATTTGGTAACACCATTCAAGTTTATAAAGAAATTATTAATTAGACTCCCATTTTTCTCACTTCCAATTGCTAAACCATCAATGGTTGTAGTTGATCCAAACAATGGCAAAGTAGTTGACTACTATCAAGCAGCCCCAAATTCTGTTCAGCAATCAGTAACTAGCTCCATTGAAAAAGACGGTCAAATTTATTTAGGCAATCTCCTCAGTAACTATTTTGTTATTATTGAAGACAAAAAGAAATAAATATAAAAATATTTAAACTATTATAAATAAAATAATAAATGTTTTATAATCTTTATTTTTAATACAACCAGTAAAAAAATATTTTATTTATAAATTTATTTTTTAGATTTTATTATTATGTACAATTTTTAAACTTTCCATTCAGTAATACTATTTTTTGATATGTTGTGGGGTAATGATATTTTCATTTGTTGATCTCTAATTATTTTGGTTGATTTGGAAAAGTCATAGATTAAATTAGTTGGTAAATCTACAGTTAATAATTTTATTGGTGATTTTAAACCTTTGTTACTTTGGGTGTTTTGCTCCCATATTGACCCATCGGCAACTGGGATGAATTGGAACAGATCGTTTCTACAAGGTATATTAACTTGGTATTTAACTTCCAATTTTGAAATATTTAACCTGTATCCAATAAAATTAATTGAGAATGGTGGTAGTGAAAAAACCAATACTATTTTATTTTGACATGGGAATATAAATGGTTGAGAAATTTCAATTTTATCAATATTATAAAAATGATTTAATTTACAAACTGTATCAGAGATTGTATTGCCATTGTTATTATTACTATTAAGTGCCTCTATTATATTTGGACCATTATTATTATTATTATTATTATTATCATTACGAACCAATTTTTTTATTGCAGATAATGGAGAGTTTAATAATACTTCTCTTTCTTTTCGTAGTTCCTCTTCTCTTTGTTGGGCTAATATTTTATCCCTCTTTCTTTGTTGGGCCCTTTCACCCCGTAGCTTTCTATTACCAAAACTATTTTCTAATGCTTCACCTTCACTTGAATCTTTTTCACTATCACTACCACTATCTTTTGTTTTTTTATTTTTTTTATTTGACTTGGGTGCAGAGGTGGTTTTTTTTTGTACACTTTTTCTTTTTCTCTTTTTTTGATTTTCATCAACCTCTTCTTCCTCCTCCTCCTCCTCTTCTTCCTCCTCTTCATAATCACTATCGGAATCCTCTCCTACATCTTCCTCTTCCTCCTCCTCTTCTTCCTGGTCCTGATCCACAGTTTTTTTTTGCTTTTCAACCTCTTCCTCCTCCTCTTCTTCATTAATATTATCATTGTAGCCCCTTCTTATTGTTTCATTTGTGGTATCTTCCTCCTCTTCCTCCTCTTCATTCTCTTCTTCATTGTCAGTTTCCTCTTCATTTTGTTGTCTTTGCAATCTATTTACCGTTTCATTTTCTTCCTCTTCATCATTATTTGGGAGATCACCATTCTCTAATAACTCATTCTTCATTAATAACCAAAATACAGCTTCTAAAACCTCACTAAATTTATCAAGCTGGGTACCTCTCCAACTACTACTACATACACTTAATTGTCTAATTCTAGCTTCAATATAATTTGCCATTGCCAAACCCTGTTTAAATTCTTTGCTTGAATCGTCGAGTAGTAGTATTTTCTTATAAGTTTCATCTTTCTTTAATTCTGAATAGCTGTCTTCTTTTGCCAAAACACATTCATTTTCTAAAACCTTTAAATTTAAATTACTTTCGATTAAAACTTGAGAATCTGTCATTCCACCAGGATATGGACCACAAATATCTATAATTCTTGCTGTTGCAATATCGATCATAATTTGATAAATTATTCCTTGCTTACCTTGTTTTTTATTTTCATATCCTTCTGCCAAATCCCTATTTTTATTTGATGAAAAAAACATTGTATATACCATTGAATATATTTTTTTATTTCCTTTAATAATTGGTTTCGAAAAGTATTTTTCTCTAAAATTCTATACAAAAATAAGAAATATAAATATAATTATTACTTTATATTATACATACTATATATTATAAAATACAAACAGGTTTAAATGAAATCTTTTTTAATAAACTGATACATAAAACAATATTATCTCTCATATATTTTTCGCTACATAAATATTCTTGGCTTAATTTATCAAAGGTTCTATTAGATTTAAAGAATCTTAGAGTAAATAATAAACTATCTGCAATGGTTCTTTCTTTTTTTTGTGATACCTCTTTGGCCAACAACGGTAATAACTTTGCTGCATGGCTTTTATCAATCCAATACTTTTTTAAAAACTCTTCATCTGATAATGATTGAAATTCTATAATATTAAATCCTTTTTTTGTCATTTATTATTATATCTTTTTATTATTATATTGCTAGATATGTTATTTATCTATTTATTATTATTTATCTATTTATTATTTCATTTATAAAAAAATGAAATATAATACAAAAATTAAAAAAAGGGGGAAATGCATTAAAAAATTTTTAAAAAAAAAAAATAAAAATAAAAATAAAAATAAAAAAAAATAAAAAATTATTTGTTTTTCATGAAAAATTTAACACACAACCACTCCAAAATCAATATGTTTGGACAAAAAATAGAAAAAATTTAAAAGCATGAATATTTAATTTTACAAGTGATAACACTCTTTTATTTTATTTTTTTTTTTTTTTATTTTTTTTTTTTTTTGGATATTAAAAAGAGTGAATAATATTCGAATACCATTAAATTAATAATAAAAAGTATTTGATTTGGTACCAAAACTTGTTTGGGTTGGTCTTTCTGTATTAATTTAACAAAATAATAATTAACTAATTAATTAAATTTGTTTTTTAAGGTTATAAAAAATATATTTTTTCTTACCTCTTCCAATTCCAACTGTTCCAATGAATCTCATTTTTTATTTGTTAAGTTTTTTTTATATATTACAATAAATTTTTTTAATAAAAAAAAAAAAAAAATAAAAATTTTAGAATAATTTATTTGATTTGATTAAAAAAAAAAAAAAGAAAAAAAAATTGTTAAAAAATAATTATTATAAAAATTAATATAAAAATCTAAAGATATTTTAATTTATAAAATAAAGTGTTTTGGTATTTCACACCTCCCAAAATCGTCTCCACAGTCATAACTGAGAAAAATAATAATGGAAATAATAATAATAATAGTAATAATAAAGAAAAAGAAAAGTGAGTATGTTTTGTTTACAGTTGATTGATTTATGATCAATAATTCTTTATATTTATTTTTTTTTATGAAGAAATTATTTTTTTATTTATAAAAGAAATTAATAAATAATAGATTAGTAATAGAAATCACTATTTATAAAATATTAAAAATAAAAATAATTAGTGTCACTATATCGTTTAAATTGAATAAATAATTGATATAATAATATTAAACTTACTTTTTGGCTATAGTTGGTTTTATTAAAGGTCAAATTTGAAAAAAATAAAATAAAAATTAATTAGTATCATCACCATCACTAAAATTACAAATTAAAATACTAACGTCTGTTTCTACCAGAAGAGACTTTGTATGATCCTAAAGAAGATGTATTTAATGGTGGATTTGTACCACTGGTATTGGGACCTAAACTACTATTACAATTTCCCATTTTAAAAAAATAAAATATAACAAATATAAAAATAAAGAAATAGAAAGAAAAAATAAAGAAAAATAAAGAAAAATAAAAAAAAACATAAAAAAAAAAAAAATATAAAAAAAACCAAAAAAAAAAACCAAAAAAAAAAAAAAATATCTTATTTTTTTTAATACTTAAAATATTAAATACCATAATTATTTTATATACCAATTTTTGGAAATAATACTTTATACAACACGGATCCTTATTTAATTAAATGAGACATTATATATCTATATTAAAAAATTTATATTGTTACAAAAAAAAAAAATAATGAATAATTAAAATAATAAATTAAAAAAACATAAGCATACTATATTAAAAATTAATTATTAAATTATTGAGTTTAAAAAAAAAAAGAAAAATAATTTCCTTTTTTTGAATTTATAAAGGAGCTATTAAAAAATATAATAAATTAAATGAAATAAGAGACTATATATAAAATTATAATAAAAAAAAAATACACCTTTTTTTATTTTTTTAAAAATTTTGAAATTTTTTTTTTTTTTATTTAAATATTTTTTAAAATTTTATTTTATTTAATTAATTAACCATTAATTTTGTTATTGTAACAATATAAAATATTTAATAATGGTGTAGATCAAAAATAACCAAGAAATGGCTCACTTTATTTATATGGAATATCTAAAAGGCTTTCAATCAGTTGATAAATTTTTAAAGGAATTTCCAGATGACTTAATACATCATATTCTGGATATGTGTCTCAAAGGCATAAATTTTCTTCAAAATAATAATTATTCATAGAGATATTAAATGCCAAAATATATTATTAAACCCCAATTCCAATGTTAAATAATTGATTTTGGAATTTCAAAATATACAGAATATAAAGCATCAACAATCGCAGGAACACCAACACATGTCACCTGAAACAAGAAGAAGTGAAACATGTTTTAGTTCGGATCTTTGGAGCATGGGTTGTACAGTTATTCAATAGGAAATGGGCCGTGGTGATTTAACCTTGGATGAAAACGATATACCAAAAATCCCTGAACACTTTTCAAATGGGCTTAAAGCTATGACCAAATTTATTTAAAGTAAAGGCTTGTTAGAGATTTCCTTTTAAAACAAACTAGAAATAAGGTAAATATTTTTATTATATATTTTTATTAGAAAATACTAACATTTACCACAATATAATTTTAGACCCTAAAACTAGTATTTGATATTTCTGATTTAAAAAGTTCTCCCGCATCACTAACCATTTATCTTTCAACCCCGAAAAGCATACTCCTTCTATTCCATCGACAATAATTTACTTAATAATTGATAAACCAACATCACTTCACTTTATTCCATCATCAGTCGCACTACCAAATTATAACCAATATTTCCAAACGGAATACCACACTGTGAGCCAACATGTATTGGATCGATTCCTCGTACTCTTGAAGGCCTCATCCTTTAATCACATAATCATCCAATTATAGAAAACTCAATACCGGAATCAATCAAAGTTCTTTTTCTGGATTCAAATACACATGATTTCAAAGAATCATCTATTCCAGATTCAGTGGAGGCTCTTTCTTTAGGTAAGGGTTTTAACGTTTTAGAATAGGTTAATTAAATTGACAAATAACAATCAAAAAAAAGTATATTTAGTACAATTTAATGATTATCAAAGAAAAAAATTTATAAATAAATGATCATCACAAAAATTTGTCATGTTTTTTTTTCTGTGATATTATCAATATTAATATTCAAATCATATAATTGTTTATTTTTTTTTTTTTTTTGGTAGTATATCATATATTTAAACAAATAGGATGATTTAAAGTGATGGTTATACATCAAATGTTTTATGAAATATACAATTTTATTTATTCAATAAAAATAAAAATTAAAATTAAAATAAATAAAAATTAAATTATAAAAAAAAAAATAAAAAGAAATATCTCAACTCAATGACTTTAAAGTTATTTATTTAAAATAAATAAATAAATAATCAAATAAATACTATTAAAATTTTTTTTGTTTAAATTGAACAGTTGGCATCATCATTTTTTTTTTTTGAATAATTCAGATTGCAATGGGTTCTAAAATTGGTAATTAATTAATAATTTAATTGAAAAAAATAAAAATTTATTAATTCATTTCCCAAACATGATAGCCACTTTTTATAATAATAATAAAAAAAGTGTGTGGGGGGTTATAATTTAATTTTTTTTAATTTTTTTTTTAATTTTTTTAATTAAATTATTTTTTAATTTGGTGTTTGTGTTTAAAAAATAAACAGATGATCACTACTTTTATGATAGCTACAGATTAAAAATTTAATAGAATGTATAAAAAAGGAAACACCGAGTTTGAATCTAATCTATTATATTAACAAAAGGAAATTATAATTAAAATGAATTAAATTTTTTTTTTTATTTCATTTTCTAAAAAAATTTTAAAACCCTATAAAAACTTTTTTCGAATTTTTTTTTCATTAAATTCAAGCTCGCAATCAAAGTAATTTGTATAATCAAGCTTAAATTTATTGTTTCATTTTTAATCATAATATTATATTTTTTTTTAAATAATTATATATATTTTATATTTTATATTTTATATTTTATATTTTATATTTTTTATTACCCTATAAAAGAAAATAATAAAAAATGGGTAACTTTTTTTCAAAAAAGGTAATTATCTCTTATATAACATACATTATAAAAAAAATAAATACTAATTATTGTTTTATTTGTATTTAGGATTTCATTTTTGAAAAAAAAGTAAGAGCTATGGAATCCAATATTAATAAATTGGAGACCAAAATTTTAAGCTCAAAAAATGAACACTATAATAATAATAAAAAAAACATTTTTTATTTTTTTATTATAGAATTATTATTGGCAACTTTTTTATATGAAAAGTTTGCATCATCCGACTCTTTGTCTGAAAAGGCAATGGGTTTATATTATTCATTATTTACCACAATAATGTAAGTTTTTCATTTTTAATTTATATATATCTTTATTTTTATTTATTATAGATATTAACATTTATATTATCATTTTAGGATCTATTTATTAATTAAATTAGATAGATTATTTTTTGGAATATATATAAAAAATAATGAAAATAAATTAATTAAATTATATTCTGGTCTTGAAAAATTGTTCGAGGAAAGGAAACTCGAAACTGATTTTGAAAAGACCAAGAATCTTTTGGAGGCATATGAAGTTTTTAAAAAAAAAAGTAGGTATTAGATAGTATTCATTTAAATATTTTATCTGTAGTAATGTAGTGTCTAACTATTTTTTTTAAGATTTCGATAGCAGATACCAACCAGAGTATCAACATCAACCTCCATAGCAGCCACCACAACCTCAATTTCAATATATCTTAGTAGATATAATATAGATAAAAATAGATTATAAAACAAAAAATTAAAAAAATAATTATTTAGAATCAAAAAAAAAGAAGAGTTTATCACAAATGTTCAAAATCCATGAAGGTAAAGATCCAATCAAAGTAAAATGCCTTCAATTAAATCAACACCAAAGAATTTTTTCATTCTAACCACTATTTGATGTATATCAGACATTGTTCTGGCCAAGCAACTATGGTATCATCGAATGGTTTTAGAAGAAGAAAAGATTTAATGGCTCCTTAGAAGAAATGATTTAATGTTTCCTATCCGGCAGCTTTCAAAAAACTTTATCAATTGACACAAGTTCTAACCATAGTAAATCCTTTATGTCGTTCAATTGATAGTTTTCTCTTTGACAACCCAGATTTCATTAATTTAATAACTGCTGCCTTAAAATAAAGATAAAGATAAATTCTTTTTATAAATTTTTTTTTGAAATAATTATTATTTTATTTTTTTTTTTTTTTTTTTATTTTTAATTTTTAATTTCTTATTTTTAAAAAAATTTTATTTAATATTAAATAAATTATTTTAAACATAAAATGTCAAATAACAATAGTTTATTCATTAATTAATATTTCATTATTCAATTTTAATTATATTTCTTCTTCATAATAATAGGAATACACCCACCAGTACTGTAGACGAAAAAAAAAATTGGAAGACATGTTAACCATACTAATAAAAACAAAGTTGATAATAGACCAAGTAATTTAGTAGATATTAAAGATAATATCAATAGAGAAGTACATAGAAGCGATTACAATGAAAAAATTCCTGTTTCAATTGTGGAAGAACATCACATTGGCCCAAGACTGTTATGCAAGTTATGACATTGATGGAAACAGATTATAAATTAATTTAAAAAAAAAAAAAAAAATAAAAAAAAAAAAAATTTTAATCAATCAAACCCATAAAAATAAAAATAAAGATAATGATAAATTAAATTATAATCCCTAAAAAGTATTTTAAAGAAAATAATTTCATAAAATTTATTTTCATTATACATTAAAGTAAATTCGAGTGGGTTGGAAATGATACTTCATTCTCGCTCGTTCCCCAGTCATCTCTATTTGCTAACGGCTATGAAGATCAAATATATATATATATAAATAAATAAATAAATAAATAAATAAATAAATAAATAAATAAATTATTTTGTACAATTGATAAAATTAAATTTTTGTATTTTATTTTAAAGTTTAATTAAATTTTTTAAAAAAGACATATTATAAAAAGGTTAATTAGAAAACAAAGAATCTATATAAAAAAATTATTAAATAATTTTAGTATCCTATTTTTATAATTTTTACCCTCAAAATAAAATACATACCCTTTCTTTTTGCTTGTACCTATAAATTATAAAAAATGAAAAATTTTATATTAGCTTCAGCTCATGGAAAATTATTAATTGTATATTACTTACCACCAATTCTAACACTTGCAGTACCAATAACTGGAGAAAACAATTTGAATTTCATTTTTATTTATTTTTTATTTAGGAATGAGTTATTACAGATAGAAGAGAAAATAAAAAAAATAAAAAAATTTTATTTTTTTAAATAAAAAAAAAAAACAAATTTTATAAAACAATAAAATTTTATAATAAATATCTAAGTTTGCACGGTCTTGGGTTGCGGAAAAAGGGTTTTGATGTTTTCCCAAAAACAGATTAATGGATTTTTTTGAAAAGTATTAAGAAAAATATGGAAGGAGAAGTGGACTCATAGAAAATTAGGAATAAAATATTATTATATTATTACTCTATGATCAGTCTTTGAAATTAAAAAATAATAAAATTTATTATTTTGTGTTGATTTTTTTTTTTTAAAACCAAGAAAATCTAAATTTTTTTAAGAACGGAATTCGGTTGATCTTGATACAGATAAAGCTGGTCTAGTTAAACTTGATCTTGAGACTGGACCTGATGTAAGAGAGGGTGATCTGGTTGGAAAGACATTTGAAATGGAGTTTGGTCTTACTGGTGTGATTGTTACGAGAGTCATTTTCTAAAAAATATTTATTTTTTTATATAATGAGCTTTTATAAAAAAAATATTTGATGAGGAATAAAAAAAAAAAATTGGTAAAAAATTTTTAAACCATTTTATTAAAACAATAAAAAAAAAAATAAAAAAATAAAATTTAAAATAAAAAAATATAAAAAGGTATTTTGCAAATTTTATAATTTTAAAAAGATTTTTTAAAGCACCATTTTTATTTTATTTTACAATATTTTTCAAATGGACAAAAATTATAATAAAAAAAATTTAGAATATGGGTTGATCAAGCTGTGAAATATGTTGATCTTCTGGTTGGTGGTGGTGGGTCTTTTGGTTTTGCGGTTGATTTGGCTGGTACTGGTCCCATATATAACATAGAATTTTTTGAACCGCCTATTTTATATAAAAAACAAATTTTTAATAAATTATTTATCACAAATTAAAGAAAAATAAATAAATTATTACCTGTATTTGGATTTGGGCTGAATGAAATCATTGTTGAATTGTTTTAAGAAAAAAAAAACAAAGTTATTGAAATAAAAATAAAATATAAAGAATGAAAAAAAAAAAGAAAAATTTAAATATGTATTGAGAAAATAAAATAAAAATAAACAAAAAAAAAAAAAAAAAAAAAATAAATAAATAAAAATTAAAAAAAAAAAAAAAAAAAAATATCAGAAATATCTGATTAAATCAAATGGTTTTTTAAAAAATTTAATAAATATTTTTTATTATTTTTTTTAGCTGTTGATGGGTTTCTATGGACAGAAAACGACTGGTTTGCCCCTGGAGGAACTTCCTCCTCCTGTTGTAAAAAAAATTATATTATTGTTAGAAAAAAAACTAAAAAACCCCAATCTAAAATTTTTTGAGTACTTACTTTTGTTTGAAGATACGTGTCTTATGGTTGGAGTACTTAATGTGTTCATATTTAATGGAAAGAGTTATATATAAAATGAAAAATGAAATAAAAAAAAATAAAAAAAATTCTTAAATATAAAAAATAAAAAAAATAAAAAAATATAAAATAAAAAATTAAAAAAAAAATAAAATTTTATATATTTTGTGCAGTGTTTAACCAAATTATAAAAAAATAAAATCAAATACCAAAAAAAAAAAAAAAAAAGTATAATCAAAAGATAAAAAACCCAACTAAAATTTTTTTTATAATAATAGAAGGTCCAAGCAGAGCATATAGTTAAGTAAGAAACATTAATGTTTATTGTTAAAAATTTATGATGAGTGTTTTATGTGAAGTTTTAAAAAATTAAAAATTAAATTATAAAAATTATAATTATAATCAAAATCTTTTTTTTTTTAGAATCTAGTTTTGGCCACTACCAATTATTTTTTGATTTGTGTTTTGTTGTTGTTGTTGCTTAGTTTTTAAATCATCTTTAATAAATGAACTTTTTTGATGTTGTCTATTATGTGATTTGTGATCTTCCTTTTCTATGCATTGAGTTAAAGTTTGAATGAAAAATTTAAAAGTGTTTTCTTGATTACCACCTTTGGGTGTGCTATTGAAATAGGATCTCCAATATCTAATTTTACCAGTTAAAATTTCATTAAAAACAAAATCGATATCTTCACCTTTTTGACCAGTTTTTCTGTTGGTTGTAGAGAAAATTTGTAGATAAGTGGTCCAATTTGGTTTGGTTTCGTCATAGAGTTGTTCAATCTTTGAAATACTTGTATGTTCGAAATTGTCAAAGAATAATTTGGCCCCATCGATACAACAGTTTTTACCGGCTACATGATTGAATGGTGGGCAAATGACTAAATCATCACTAAGACAACTTGACCATTCATCTAAATCTTCTTTTTCGAATTTTTCTAATTTGTCTCTAACGATATCTGATACATCTTTACGGGTATAATACTGAACAGGAGCGGGTGTCCAATGTTCATTTGGTAAGGGGGCATCCATACTATCGATTTTAATATATGCTTTATCGATCCAGATATACCAGGTTCTAATTTTATAGTCATTGGGAGATAGTTTAATATACCATGCAGCCATACCTTGCTCTAAAGATGTGTCGTTTTCACTCTGTTTAGAAAAGTCCTTTCTTCTTGTTATCCATTCACAAGCAACATGTCTTTGACGTGAATCAATCAAAAGTCTAACATTGTACAAATGAATCTCCTCATTATTATAAATATCTTCAATATATTTCTTTATTAAATTTCTACCAATGACCTCTTCGTTACAACGATTTAATACTGATTTGGGTTCGAAATAATCATCAAACTTATTAAAATCTTTTTGTTCTAAACTAGTTTTTAAATTATTTACCAAATCTTCACATTTTTTTCTATGAACTATTAAATTTTATAAAAAAAAAAAAATTAGTTTTTGAATATTTTTTTATTATGAAAAAAAATCTTTTATAAAATTATATTTATATCTTCAAAATTATACATACCTTTTAAAGTTTCATCCTCTTCATTTTTAATGTTAAAATTATCCTGAGAATAATACTCTTCTTCTTCAAAAAAAATATTCTTTGTTTTATCCATAAATTATATCTATTATTATATTATAATCTTTTTATCTTTTTTTTAAATACTAAAAGTAAATAACAATATTTTTTTTAAAAATTTTTTTTAATTATTTTTTTTTTAGATTAATTAATTTTCCTAAAAAAGAAAAAAAAAATAAAATAAAATAAAAATTGAAAAAAAAAAAAAAAAAATATTACATTAAAATAATTTATTAATTTTTATTTTATTTAATTTAAAATAAAATTATTTTAATGTATGGAATATATGATGGGTGAGTTTTTTTTATGAAAAAATAAATAAAAAATAAAAATACAATGATGGGGTGAAAAAAAAAAATAAAAAAAAAAAATAAAAACAAAATTATTATAATAAGGAAAAATTAGAGTAAATAATTAATTATATATTTTAAAAAAATAGATATATATTAAAATTAAATTTAATATATATCAATTTTTTTTTTTTATATTTTAATTTTATTCAGTATAATTTAATAAAGTGATTTTAATTAAATTAATTTGATTAATAAAAGAATCATTATTTTGTAAAATTGTTTTATAAAATTCTAAAATTCTATTGGATCTATCAATCAAATCGTTAAAGAATAATTTTTCTCTAGGATCAACTTCAGGTTTAATATAAGGTTCGTTGGGGTATTGTTGTTGATGTAATTGTTTTTCTTGTTTGAGTGATTCTACAGCATTGTGAATTTGATTAAATATACCATTTGACAAAGCTAAAATTAAAGTTGCTAAATCATCTGCTATATCTTCATTATTATCTGTGAATTGAACCAATGTGGCACGAAGAGTTAGCTCTGATTGATAGGTGAATGGTGATTTGAGGTAATGAATAAATGTTGATAATGTAATTTCGCTGGTAAAATCGTCGAGATAGAACTCTGCATTAAATGGAGATGCTATAACACCTGCTAAATAACTCTTGTGGTCGTCAAAAGAGCATTGATATGGGTCCCATTCGATTGGCAATGAAGTTGATGATTGTGTGCCATAGCTATTATTTTTATAAGGATATTTTTCAATGCAAATTAAATCTCTCTTGTCGAAAATATTTTTGATTTTTGTGAGTGTAGAGTTTTGAAGGCTACCATTTAAAGTTGTAAATAACAATGGATATTTTGAAGGTGTGGCTCTATTCATTTCTAGCCAATATTCGATTTGTTGACGAGATGGTGGTGCATTACCTGGATTTATATTTAATTCGAAAATGGATGGGCAAACTATAATCTCTACAGTATTCTTGAAATGTGCATGAAGCTTATTTAAAAACATTGTTTGAGTTTGAGAGTAGGTCTTTGAATTATTTACTTCACTTTTTGTTGAATTTGGTGCGCAAATTGGTAATGTGAATGAATCATTAAAACCACTTGGTAAAACTAATGTAAATGATTTAATATTGACACTGTCCATATACATTTTAATAATATTAATCATTTGATTTTGATTTTCCTCTAATGAGAATTCAAATTCTTTTGGTATTAAAATCGCGATATTTAATTGTAATGATTTGGTATTATTATCATTGCCATTATTATTTTGAAGTGAGGCTGTTTTAATTGCTACTAATAATTTCTTTAAAAAGTCTTGAATTTGATTTGGTAATTTTGGTTGCACTTTATGATCTAATATATTTTGGAAATCTTGGGTGGTATAGTTTTGTGGTGAGATTATAAAATAATTACAATTATTTTCATATAAACTATTAATATATTTAGTGTATTCTTTTAATTTTGGTAACCTCTTATTTTGATTGGTATTATTATTATTGTTATTATTACTACTACTATTAGTTATAATACTAGTACTATTATTACTATCCTCGAATGACCACAAACCCTCCATAATACCTCTGAATCTTAATGGATTTGATTTTGTTTCTTTTGAATTATATACAACAATATCTTCTTCAACACCGTAGTATTGTCTTGTGATAATATCATCATTGCCAAGTTTAATAATAGCTTCTTCACTTCTCTTTGAGCCTTGTTTTACCCCAGAGTCATCAATATATTTAACTTGATTTTTAATATCATATTGAGTATCTTTATCTTTATTTTTCATTTTGTAATCTGCTAATGAACTTGATTCTTCTTTTTTATTGTTGCTATTGCCAGTACTAAATGATATTTTTTCTACTTCAATTTCATTTGGTCCTAAATTATGAATATAATATTGTGTTAATATAAAGTTTATGGGTGTATAATTATGGTTTTAGGATTATGTGGGTCAAAAAAAACTTACTAATTGGTTCGGAAACAATTCTTCTACCGAGGAAATCAATTGAAATTCTAGTTTTGTTTTTTAATTCATCTTTTTTCTTTTTATAATCCAATTCTTGTTGTGCAACTTTTTTTCGTTCTTCTTCTGTTAACCATTTATTTGATGAATTTGAAAAGTAATCCTCCTGATCATCGAAAACTATAGTTCTTTTGGCATGTGTATTTTGATAACCTAAAATTCTATCTTTATATTCAATAGCACTATTTAAATGTTTGTCACTTAGTTGTTGCTGTTGGATCGATAAACTTGCTGGGTTGGTGAATAATGGGGTTTGACAAAATTTGCATGGTCCTTTACCTTCCTGTTCACAAATAATTTTACCACAATTTAAACAATTTGTTATTAATTTATGTCTAGTTGCCTGGCACTCACATGGTTCACCTGGTTTCATTTGAATTTCAATTTCGCTAAATGATGTAATCTTTTGTTTAACTTTTTGATCCTTTGGTTGTTGTGATACTGATACCTGTTGCTGTTTTTTCTTTATATTATTTGTTTGGTTGGATGGTTGAACAATCTTTTGAAATTTATTAACTCTTCTTGGTAATGAGTTTATCTTTTTAATTAATTGTTCAATAAATGATTGAACTTTTTTAGTTGTGCCTAATAATTCTTCCAAGTATGATTGGATTTCTGAATTGGTTTCCAATGATAAAACATATTTGGCTAATTCGTTTGAGTCACATCCTAACATTTTATCCATTTTCTCAATTGTCCATTTTTCGATTATTTCATAAGTTAATGGCTCTGTCATTTTTTAAGATATATATTTATAATAGTGAATAATAATAATAATAATAATAAAACAAATAATACAAGTAAAAAATTATATATATATATAAATAAAATAGGAAAAATAATAAAAAATATATTTTTTTTTTTTAAAAATTAATTTTTTAAAAAAAAAAAATAAAAAAAAAATTTTTAATATTTTTTGGTCTTTTGTGTTAATTTTATAAGAAAATAATAGAAATAAAAATCATTTATTAATTTGGTGTTATTATTAATAAATAATAATAAAATAAACAATTTATTTATTTAAACTAAAATAAATGATAAAGCAAAAACCAAAACAACTAATGAAAGAGATGTGGAGATTTTGATGGCATTACTACCTTCGCTGTCATTGTGACTGCTATGACTGTCAGTACCATTGCTTGAGGAAGTGCCATTGTTAATTTCAGAAGCAGCACCACCTAAGACTGGATCCCAAGCAACTTGATCTGGTCTAGTGACATTGCTGAATGAAAAACTAAGGAGTTTGTAGGTAGATTTGCCAGAGATCATTCCAGAAAGATTAGTAGAGCCGTAGAGACCGTTGTCATCGTCTTTGGAATCGGCATGCACTTTACAGTGACCCTTGCCTTTACCCTTGTGTGAATATCTGGCATGTTTTACCCAGTTAAAACCAGCATGGAAACCTTGTTCTTTATTGTCAGCTTCAATTTTTTCTTGTTCAAGACTTGCCTTCATACCAAATTTGTTGATAGCATAGAACGAAACGAGGGCAAGTGTGGAATTCTTGTCGGATGGACCACTACTAACACATTTTCTGTTGATGATCGAATTGACATCACAGTCTTTGCTTGCTGGGTTAGTAGTTTCGTTGTAGTAGCCATCAATACCAAAATCAATTTTAGTTTGTTCAGCAGAGATAACAGTTTCACTATTAATTGAAGCTGGATGGTCAGAAACTGTGAAATTAAATTGGATAAGACCAGTGGTACTAGTGGAAACAACATGATAAACAGTATACTCTTCACCATCTTTATCTTTTAAAGTCTCTTCAGTTTTTTCAGTGTCAAAATCCAATGCACCAATATTTACAAAACCGACGATTTCATCTTGACCCAATTGGAAACCCTCGTTCTTACCATCATCGACATATTCAAGAATGAATGTTGGAACAAAGACTGATGAAAGTGATGCAGTTTCAAATGAAGAATTTCCATCAACATTCGATTGTTTTCCACTCATGTAAAACCAACCATAGCATGGGAAGCCAAAGAGACCACTATTAAATCTGAATACTGATGTATCATATTCAGTACTGCCTTCACCTTTGACAATGGTACCATTGATCGAAGATCCCACTAAAAGGAAACCATCATTGGAATTCGAATAGGAATATTTTCTTGCAATATTACCATCACCTTTACTTTTAATGGAAACAACATCCTCTATAAAATAAAAAGATAATCATATTAATATTTTTTTTTTTTTTTTTTTTATACAAAATCACAACTTACTAAAACTAAAATCTCCTTCATCATTACCATTGGCATGATGAGAAATAATTAAAACAAGTGCAATTAAAAACTTTAACATTTTAAATTTTAAAAAAAAATATTTACAAATATTATAAAAACTACATTAAATAAATAAATAAATAAATAAATAAATAAATAAATAAATAAATAAAATAAATAAAAATTTAATGAATAAAATAACAATTTTTTAGTTTGTTTTTATACTTTTTTTTTTTATTCATTGTTATTAATATATGAAATAAATGAAATATAAAAAATAAAAAATTATTTGAAAAATATTTTTAAAATAATTATTTTTTCAAAAACTATAAAAATTTATATGAACCTATAAATATTATAAATATTCATTTTATTTAGAACACAGATTACTTTTTAAAAGAAATTACAAGTTATCCTTAAGTTTTTATTAACGATAATTGAAAAGAATCTTTTTTCAATGTAAAATACAGAAAAAAAATATAAATAATTTTTTATTATTATAACCTTATTTTTATTTATTTTTATTTATTTTTTATATTTTATAACATTAAACTAATATATAGTATTTTCTAATAAATATAATTTCTTTTAATTATAAAAATTATTTTTATTTTAGTCTTAATAAGAAATTATTTAATCATACTTTTTTATTCTTTCGTAATTTTAAGTTTTCGGTTTTTTAGGAATTTCTTGAAAACAAAAGATTATCGAATTATTCTTTTTAAAATATTTATTTTTAAATTTTCAAAAATTTTTTTTTTTTTTAGATGCGTTATTCTCTTTACTGGATATACCAAAAATTAATAAAATATGTCTAAAAAAACAATTGTTTTTGCTTTACTTATTGTCTCGATTGTAAGTTTATTTTAATTTAGTAATCTTTTCAACTATTTTTTTAATTAATTAATTAAATATTTTAAAATAGGTTTTATGTGTTATAACTTTAGGTTTATCACTTTCACAAATTAAAGATAAATATAAAAATGCTATTGCTTTGGGAGATTGTAATGATGTACCTAATCCATTCAAGTTAGTTAGTAAAGATAACGCTGGATCATATATTATTTGTAATTGGGCAAGCTCGAGAAGTGCTGTTAGATTATTATACCTATTTATCTTTATTATTTTGTCTTCTTTGTCTCTTTTTTCAATTGTTGGGAAATCAAAGCAATTATTATTTGTTTTAAGTATAGCCCTATTAGTTATAGGTGCATTTGGTATCTTTAGTTTCGCCTATGACGCCAAAGCAATAACAGATTCAAGGTAAATTTTTTTTTTTTAGATATATAAAATATATTTGTAGTTGATATGTATATATTAATATATTTTTTTATTATAGAAAATACTGTAAATCTATAAAGGACTTAGGAAATGCTAAATGTGTCTATGACAACTTCAACGCAACCATCACTTTTAATATATTCACCGCTATTTCAATTATTGCCACCGGTGTTTTTTCAGCTATTTTTAGAAATTCAATGTTTGAATAAAAAAAAAAACATTTTATAAAACTTAATAATAATGATCACACATTAATGTGTGTATCTAATTTTTTATTTTTTAATTTTTTAACCAACAACTTGATGACCACCTATTAACCCAGCTATTAAATTACTTAGGAAATGCTCTACTACCTCTTCTTCATTATTTAAGTTATTTGCAAAAGTATTTGGCAATTCTCCTTCACCACCCTCTATTGAAGCATTCTATATATTTTAAAAAAGAAAATTAATAAAATTTATTAAAAAAAAATAGAAACTGTATCATACAGATATAATCGCTATTGATACTAATAATAATACTATTAAAATAATATATAATAGTTTCATTTTAAATTAAAAAAGAGTATATACAATAATGGAATAAAAAAAAAAAAAATTTATTTTAAAACAAAAAATAATTATAAAAAAAAAATAAAAAAAAATTCTTTTAATATATATATAATAAAATTAGATTTATATTAAATTATATATAGCATTTTATAAATAAAAATAAAAAAAAAAAAAAGAAAAGTTCGAAATCTCTGAATTGAAATATTTCTAACAATAGTATTGTTAATTATTATCAGAACCAACTGTGGTAACAAAAAAATTGGAAATGTCAGAATTTAACTATTTAAAATTATTAATTACTTCAATTATATAACTATAGCATTTCAATAAATTTACCTAAAAAAAACCGAAAAGTCATTGTGTTATTTAATTTTTTTTTTTTTTTTTTCCAAGATATTTTTTTTTATTTTTTTAATTTTTATTTTTACATTTATTTCATATTATTCATTCTTCTATTTTTTTTTATTTTTTTATTATTATTGGGTAAATGAATAGATTATTTAAAAGAAATTATTGTAAAATAGTTAAAGATAATTATAGAGAATGTGCACCACCGAAATTTAAATTTTTTAAAGATACAATATTTAATTTATCAAGTGGTGTGGGGAAGAGTGGTGTTGCGATTGTCAGGGTTTCAGGACCAGATTCAAAATTGGTGTTGAAAGAGTTAACAAAAAAAAGCAATATAGAACCTAAAGAAAGATTAGCTACACTTAGTACTTTTTATCATCCAAAAACAAATGAACAAGTAGATAAAGGTATTTTTGTTTGGTTTCCATCACCCAATAGTTTTACAGGTGAAGATGTGGTAGAGTTTCATATACATGGTGGTAGAGCTGTAATTTCAGAGACATTGGATGCAATATCATCAGTAGACGGTACAAGACCATCAGAACAGGGTGAGTTTACAAGAAGAGCATTCGAAAATGGTAAAATGGATTTAACACAAATTGAAGGTTTATCTGATTTATTAGATGCATCAACATCATATCAAAAAAAGATAGCATTAAAGCAAATGCAGGGTTCTATAGGTCAATTTTATTTTAGTTTAAGAAAAGATTTAATTAGAGCATCTGCCTATATGGAAGCATTTATAGATTTTGGTGATGATGCTGAAATTGACAACGAAACTGTAGAACAATCTAAACGATCCATTATAGCGATTAGAGATAAAATTCAAGCCCATTTAGATGACGGAAGAAGAGGCGAGCGTTTAAGAGACGGCGCTAGCATTGCTATTGTTGGTCCACCCAATTCTGGTAAAAGCTCATTAATTAATTTACTCTCAAATAGAAAAGCATCAATCGTTTCACCAATAGCAGGTACAACAAGAGATATAGTTGAGGTAACACTAGATATTGGTGGATATCCAGTGGTCATTGGCGACACTGCGGGTTTAAGACTATCAACAAACGATATTATAGAAAAAGAAGGTATAGAAATGGCAAAAGATAGATTTAATCAATCAGATATCAAATTGTTTTTATTTGATTCAAATCAATTATTTAATTTAGATAATAACAGCAATGATAACGAACTCGAAAATTTATTAAATTTCATAGATAACGAAACAATAATAATATTTAATAAATTTGATTTAATAAAAAATAGCAGTCAAGATAAATGGAGCCAACTAAAATCAAATATATTGGAAAAAATAAAAACTAAAAACAACTTAACAAATGTACAATCAATTGAAATATCATGTAATGAAAATATAAAAATTAAAGAATTAATATCACTATTAAAATTAAATTTAAGTAATATGTATGTAATTTTATATTTAATTTAGTTAATTTATTTTATAATTATTAACGATTTTTATATATTTATTATAGGTTCGAAATGAATGACCAGGAGTCACCATTATTAACAAGGGCAAGATACAAGCAGCATTTAACAGAATGTGTTGAATCGTTGGATAGATATTTATACTATTGTGATGAAGATATAGTCATAGCATCAGAGGAGTTAAGAAGAGCATTACTTTCGATCAGTGCAATTACCCACCCTGTAGATTTAAATGATTTATTAGATGTAATTTTTAGAGATTTTTGCATTGGAAAATGATCATTTTACCAAAATAGTATAATAAAACCAAAAATATTAAAATTTTTAATTTATCACTTAGTTTATAAAAATTTATAAATTATTATAAAAATTAAAAAAACCAATTTTTTTAAACTTTTTTTATTTTTCAATGTATTGTTTATTATTTATATTAATAAAATATAAAAAAGACGTTGTTTTATTATATAGTTCTTTAAATACAATTTATAAAAAAAAAATAGAAAAAAAAATAAAGTTAATAGTTTTAAGAAAAAAAAAAAAAAAAAAAATGAAAATTATTAAATTTTTTAATATTAATAAAAAAACTATAGAATTTGGTAAGCTGTTATAGTATACAATAAAATAAAAGGATATTAGTTTCTAATTTTTAAATATTTTTTGTTAGATAATAGTTTAAACATGGATAGAAGAATGGTAACAGTTTTACTACCTTTTAGAGTATCAGTTAAAGATTTTGTAAAATTTAAAAATGATCAATACAATATTAATAACCGTATAAAAACAAGTTATATCAATAAAACATCAATAATGGTACCAGTTTCAAAATTAATAGAGCTCGATAAAATATTGCCATTATTCTCAAAAAAAGATTATATTAAAAAGATATTAGAGTATAATAAAAATTTAAATATAGAATATTATTCAAACTCAATAATATATATAAAAGAACCAAATCTTTTAAATGGAATGCACCAATTTAGCATCTCTAATCAACTTATAGATAGGGTGGAGCTAAATAAATTAGGAATGGTTTATTTAAATACTGCCATTTATCTTTTGCCAAATGGTTATGAAAGGTAATTGTTTTTTTTTCCTTAATTTTAATTTTTAATATTAACTAAAAGTAATATTACTTTTTTTATATTTATTTTAGAAAACCAGAAATTTCTTTTATAAGATTTTCAAAATGGAATATAATTGATCCTTTAGTTAAATATAATGGATTTTTCCCGGTATCACCAGACTTTTGTGTAGAGTTTAGATCTCGTAATGATACTTTACAATTTCGTAAATCTAAAATGATAGAGTATATACTACAAGGTGTTCAAAGTGCCCTATTGATAGATCCATATGATAACTCTGGTTGTTGCTATTACTATTGTGCCACTCCATTGCATGGTAGAGATTTGCCACTCATCCCAGACTCAGTGCCTTTACTGGATTACAATTTGAATCATGTTGGTGTAAATTGTACTGAATATCCTTGGTCTAATATTGATTTTATGCAAGGTTACTTCCCACAATTAAAAATTGCTTTATTTGGTTATTTAAATGGTATTATACTGGATTTGGGTCAAATAAAAAGATTGGATTAATTATATTTATAAAAGATATTAAATTAAATTATTATTATAAAATAAATAAAAATAAATGATTTTTAATTTTAATTTTCCATAAATATGCATAAAAACACAAAAAAGCCAACATTTCAAAAACACAAACACAAATGACTCACAAACAAAAAAAAATTTTAAAAAAAAAAATAATAAAATTAGATAAAAAAAGAAAAAAAAAAAAAAAAAATTTAATAATTACAATAAACTTTATAAAAGTAAACTAAATAAATAATTAAATAAAGACGAATAAATAATTGATAATAATAAAAAAGGTCAAATATTTTCGCTCTCTAATATTTTTTTATAAAATTTTTTTTTTTTTTTAATTTTTTTTTAATTTTTTTTTTATTTAATTTTTTTAACATCAAAATTTTTTTTTAAAAATTTTTTTTCTTTATTTTTATTATATTAATTTTGTATTATAGAAAAAAACTAATAGAAAAATATTTGTATTATAGAAAATAAACTAAATAACTAGAAATTATAAATAATAACAAGATAATACCAATATTAGTAATAACTATATAGTACAAAATAATATAAAATAATAATAATATAAATAAAAAAAAACAATGTCAAAATTAAAAGAAATTCAAAGACAATCAACTGTATCATGGTCTCCAATTGCAGACTATCCAGATTATATGGCAGTTGGTACAGTTGCAGGTACAATTAGTGCAGATTTTGATACAACATCAAAATTAGAAATTTATTCATTAGATATCACCAATAATGAAAGTAAACAAATGGCTCTCAAAGGTGTAACATCAGCCAACACTAGATTTAATAAGGTAGTTTGGGGTCAATCAAGCTCTAATTTCCCAAATGGTATCATTGCTGGTGCAATGGATAATGGTAATATTAATCTTTATAACCCAACAAAAATTTTAGAAAATTCTGATGATGCCCTTATTGGTATCGGTCAAAAGCATACTGGTCCAGTTCAATCTATCGATTTCAATTGTCAAAACCCAAATTTATTAGCATCTGGTGGTTCTGATTCTGAAGTTTATATTTGGGATTTAAATGATGCCACACAACCATCAGCTCATACTCCAGGTTCAAAATCACAACAATCAAGTGATATTACATGTGTTGCATGGAATAAAAAAGTACCACATGTATGTATCAATTAAATAAAACCATCTATTAATAATAATAGGATAATAATAATTAACAATTTTTTTTTTTTTTAAAAAAATATAGATTTTAGGTTCATCAAGTTATAATGGTTATATTGTTATTAGCGATTTAAAATCTAAAAAAACTTTAATGACATTCAATGATCGTAATAGAAGATGTAAATATAGAACTATTGTTTGGCATCCAAATGAAGCAACACAAATTGTTGCTGCTTCTGAAGATGATGATTATCCAATTGTTCAATCTTGGGATCTCCGTAATACATCAACACCATTTAAATCATTTGAAGGTCATAAGAAAGGTGTTTGGGGTCTTTCATGGTCACCAAACGATCCAGCTTTATTATTAAGTTGTGGTAAAGATAATAGAACTATTTGTTGGAACTATGATCGTCAAGAAGTACTTTGCGATATTGATCATCAATCAAACTCAAATGGTAATGAATGGAACTTCGAAGTTCAATGGTCACCACGTGTTCCAGCCCTTTTAGCCACCAGTTCATTTGTTGGCAAAGTTAATGTTTATTCACTTCAAGATGTTAATGAAAAAAATGTTGCACCACAAATAAACTCATTGGGTCTTCAAGAACCAACCACCCAACCAACCTATAAACATACTCCAAACTGGTTATTAAGACCATGCGGTGCCTCTTTTGGTTTTGGTGGTAAACTTGCAGTTTTTGGTAAACCAAGTAAAAAACTTGGTGCCTCCTCGCCACAAACTTCACCACAAGCCTCAGTCGAACGTCAATCACGTATTGTTCATATCTCTCATGTTACCACCGAAAAGGAAATTGTCAAATCATCCGAAGAGCTCGAAAGAGTCATTAGCACTGGTCAATACGAACAATATTGCGAAGAAAAGATCCAACAATCTACAAATGAAGAAGAAAAATCAATTTGGAGTTTCCTTAAAGTTAAATTTGCTCAAGATGATCGTTTCAAAATTTTAGACTATTTAGGTTACGACATTGAAACTATTAAAAAAGAATTATCTCAATTTTTAGGTACCCTTCCAGAATTACCAATCGAAAAGAAAGAACCAACCTCAACCACAACTACCACAACCGAAGGTAGCACTCCAGATGAAAGTAATGATAACTCTGGCGATCAATCTTCACTCTTCCCAAATACTGGTGATGACGACTTTGCCAAAAATATTGCTAATGGTTTAACCCTAAATGGTGATGATAGTAGCAGTGTCACCAGCACCGAATCTAAAACCCCAATTGAATTCCCAGTTGACGAAAAAGAACAAATGATTACAAAAGCCTTATTAGTCGGTGATCACCAAGCTGCAGTTGATTGTTGTCTTCGTTTAGGTAGATACTCTGATGCTTTAATTTTAGCTCATTCAGCAGGCCAAGAAATTTGGAAAAAGACTCAAGAAGCATACTTTGAAATTGTTAAAAGTCCATTTGGTAGAGTTGTATCATGTATCGTTAAACGTGATTTCAACCGTTTGGTTCGTACTGCTGATTTAAGTGATTGGAAAGCTTCACTTGCCATCCTTTGTACCTATGCTGCTCCAAGTGATTTTAAAAATCTCTCTGGTATTTTAGGTGATCGTTTAATAAACGAAACTAAGGATACCAAATCTGCTATCCTTTGTTACATTTGCGCTGGTGACATTGATAAAACTGTTAACATTTGGACTCATCGTTCAAATACCAACGAAAGCAAAGAAACCATTGAAGAATCACATCAAGATCTTCAAAACCTTATCGAAAAAGTTTCAATCTTTAGAAGTGCCTGTGGTAATAACAACTCCTCATTAAATGTTGTTTTATCAATGAAATATGCCAAATATGCTGAAATTCTTGCTTCACAAGGTAATCTTTCTGGTTCACTTAGATATTTATCACACATCAATAATCCAGAATGCCAACAAGCTTGTGGTGTATTATATGATAGAGTTTATCGTGCCACAAGCAATCATCAAGGTATTCGTCCACCACCATTCCCATTCCAATTATGTGAAGTTCGTCCATCAAACAAACCACAACAACCACAACAACAACCACAACAACAACAACCACAACAACAAGAATTATTCGGCCAATTCAATTCAAACGCCAAGAGGGCTCCAAATATGCAACCATTATTTACCAATCAACAACAACAACAACCACCACATATGATGCCAATGAATCAACAACAACAACAAATACCATCACAACCACAACCATCACTATTTAAAACAATGGGTAACCAACCACCAATGATGATGAACCAAGGGCCAACAACCAACTTTAACCAACCACCAACCAACTTTAACCAACCACCACCAATGATGATGAACCAAGGTCCACCACCAACAGGCGGTTTCAATCAACCACCACAAAACTTATCAAAACCTCCAAGTTTTAATCAACCACCACCAATGATGAACCAAGGTCCACCACCAACCAACTTTAACCAACCACCACCAATGATGATGAACCAAGGTCCACCACCAACTGGTGGCTTCAATCAACCACCACCAATGATCAATCAAGGTCCACCACCAACAAATAACTTTAATCAACCACCACCAATGATGAACCAAGGTCCACCAACAAATATCTTTAACCAACCACCACCATCAAACCAAATTTCACCACCACCTCAAATGAATCAAGGTCCACCAATGATCCCATCACCAATGGGTAATACCAATCAACCACCAATGATGCCAATGATTCCAAATCCAACACAACCACCACAACAACTTTCACCACCACCAATCATGTCAAGCAATGCTACACCATCAAGCGTAAGATCACCAATATTAGAGAAATCAAATGCACCAGGTTCACCAAACGAATTTAGTGTAGCACCAAAACCAAATGTTCATAATAAAACACCATCCATTTCAGCAGAAGGTTCTCCAGTCCAAGAACCAACCACCGAAGAAATTAACTCTTTCATTGAAAGACTCACTCAATCAATACAATCATTAAATGGTAAATCTGATAGTAAAGTTTGGGATGATGTTAACAAGAGATGTCAAACTCTTATTAACAAAGTTTCTAAAAAGGATATTTCTGGTGGTGCATTCCGTGCTTTAGAACATATCTTATCCTCAATTGTCGAAAGAGATTTCAAGAAAGCTTCAGATACTTATATACAAATTACCTCAACTGGTTATTGGGCTGAAATTGGTTCACAACCAATGGTTGGTCTTAAGCGTTTAATTGATCTTGGTTTAAAACAAAATTAATAGTTTAATATAAAATACAAATAAAATAATTAAAATAAAAAAATAAAATATAATAAAAAAAATAAAAAAAATCGATTTATTAAATAATTTCTTAGTTTATAGAATTTGTTAAATTAATAGTTACAAAATTATTTTTATTTTTTTTAATTATTAAATTATAAATAAATAATTTTTAAAAATTGTTTTTAAATACTTTTATAATTTTAATTATTTTAAATTATAAAAAGTATTATTTAAATTAGTGTGGAGTGGGGGTAAAGCTTCATTTTTAAATTTTTTTTAATTAAACCTAGGCTAGAGTAATTAGGGATAACCAATTACTAAAAAAACCCTTATAAAAACATAAAAAAGAATTCACATATTATGAAAATGAGAAAAAACTTTATTTAATAAAATATTCTTTGAGATGGTGTTAAATATAGAAAAGTATTAAAAATAATTTAAATTATTAATTGATAATATGAAATTATTATGAAACTAATATCTTTGGTAAAGGATAAATAACTTTAATTTCAAAAAATATTCGGCCAAAGGATATATATCCTTTTGATTGATTTAATTCTTCAGTTTTCATAAAGTAGTCCCATCCCAATTCACAAGTTGATATTTCTAAATGTTATAAATAATTAATAAAAAATTAAAAAATAAAATAATTTTTTATAATTTCTATAAAATAAAACTATATAATTACTTACCAAAAATTTTTAATTCTTTATGGATTCTTCTGGAGTATCTAGATGATAAGAGAGTTATTGAGAATGTTACATCTTTTTGGATACTTGCAGATTTAATATAGATGGATATTTCTCCTTGGTTAATTTTTCCGTTTTTATAAAAGTGGATTTCAAATAAATCTGGAGCATATCCAAATGAAGGAGATTTCAAATAATCACCAACGTTATGATTAATTTTGTAATAGTTAAAAATATTCCATGTATTTTTATATACATTGCCTCTATTTAACTCTTTTATACTATTGAAAAGTCGATTATTTTCAATATTTAAACGATCTATTTCTGCACATAAATGTTTTGAGTGGTCTATATGATCTAAATGAAATTCTAAATCTCTTTTTTTTATTTTATCATTACATCCATATTGTGAAAATTTACATGAAACATTTACCTCTTGACACTCTTTATCTAAGTGATTACCTATTTCTTCTCTTTTTATTTTTTGTTTACATTCTTTACAGTCTATTAACATCGAAGGACATTCAAGATAATGTTGCTTAATTTTTTTTAATAAGTAAACATTAGAACAATGTTTACAGTTTAATGGTTGGTATTCACAAAATGAAATATGAATTTTATTTTCGTTGTATCTGATTTTATCATTACATCCTTTTTCATGATATTCACATTTTACAAATCTAAATTTACAATTTTCAATATGATTATCTAATTCTTCCAATTTAATAATTTCATTACATCCATCACCATCTTTTATTAATTCTTCATCTACTCCAATAATATTTCTGAATGAATATGGACATGTTACACAACTTTTTAATATAAACTTTTCAACTTGTCTAGCTCTTGATAGTTTATTAAATGACTTTACTTGAATTTTACATTGTGGACACTCTTTTTTATTTTCAAGTGATTTTATCCAACACTCTTTACATGAACAATGACCTGATATTAAAATTAATTTAAAAAATAATAAAATTAACATTTGAATTTTATACTAAAAAACTATATACCAATTTCTTACCTTCTTTACATTGGTAAACTTCTTTTTTATAATATGTATCAAAACAAATTGGACATACATAATCATTATCTAATTCAGATAGTAATTCGGAAACATTATATTTTATTGGTACTCTTGACATTTTTTTTATAATAATATAACAATGGTAATATGAAAAATATATAATAAAAAAATTTACAAAATAACAAATATAAATAAAATAACAAACACACATAAATTAAAAAAGAGAAAATTTTAAGGAACTTAAAAATAAAAAACAAATAGGGGTAATAAAAATAAATTTTGTTTTTATGAAAATTCAAAAACTAAAAATAGTGTTTTTTCTTTGTAAATACTTTGTATAAGATAAATTTTTGTGTTGAATAAAAAATGAGTATTTTATTAGATAGAGATAAGAGTATTTAAAGTTTAAACTATAAAATAATTGACCCATTTGTTTTATTTTTTTTTTCTGTGTAGTAGGATCTTTGATTCTTGCATGTATCAATACTCATATTTGAAAAAAAAAAAAAATCTTATTATTAAATAAATATTTATATTAAAATATTTTTATTTGATATCATTAATATATCACTAGGAAGATTATGTAAAAAAAAAAAATTCAAAAAAATGTAAACAATCGGTTTTTTGTAATGAAAAAAAAACTTTTAGATTTCTTTTTTTGATTTGTTTGAATTTTTTTTTAAAAATAATTTATTTTCTATATTTTTATTTTTAATTTTTTTTAATTTTTTTTAATTTTTTTTTTATTTTTTTTAATTTTTTTTAAAATTTTTTCACTATTTTGCACTCATATAATTTTGTGTATCACAAGAAAAAAAAAAAAAAAAACGATTTTTAAAGCGTTGTAATATATAAAAACAAATAAATATATAATAAATACTTATAATTTATCTTTCCTATTTAATTTTTTCAATCCTTTTTTTTATTTTTTATTCTATAAAAATATTTTAATATAAATATATAAAAACTTAATTAATAAATAATTTCAATTTTTAAATAAATAAATAAACAAAATCAATATAAAATATATATAAAATGGTTGCATTACCTCAAACAGCAAGATATTTAAAAGTACCTTTAATAGGTTTAAATGCAATTTTATGGGTAATTATATAAATATAAACAAATAATATAAATAATAATTATATATTAAAAAATCGGAGATTAAAAAAATATTAACCTTATTATTTTAGTTGCTAGGTTTAGTTTTAGTTATTATAGGTGGTGTAGGTGTAACATTCTTTTCAAATTTTAAAAACTTTGTCGAAGCAACAGATGCCACATCAGAATTAAAGAATTTATCAGTTAGTTTACCAGCAGGTGTTTTATCAATTGGTGTTTTTTTTATTATTTTAACAATTATTGGATGTGCTGCAGCATACAAAGAGCGTTTAGTAATGTTAGTTTTCTATTCAGTATTGATGTTGGTTTTATTAGTAGTTTTAATTGGTATTGGAAGTGAAGCTGTTACCTATCATAACGATAATATTGGAGAAATTGTTGGCGAAAACTGGCTTCATGTTTCAAAATCAAATGAATCAAAACAAATCACTACATTGGAAACATTTTTAGAGTGTTGCGGTTGGAACTCTGTTGATCCATATACTTATCTTTGCGAGAATGCCACTGCAGGTGTACCAAAATACAAGGGTATCTATTGCGAAGATGTTTTAACAGAAGCCATCTCTTCAAAACTTTATTTGGTTGGTGTAACAGGTGTTATTATTGGTGTAATAGAATTTATTGCAATGTTATTCGCTTTGTTTATGATAATTCGTATTTGCAGAACATCAACAAATATTTTTTCAGTATAAACAAACCAACATACAAACAATAAATAAATAAATAAATATAAATATAAATATAAATTAAATAAAAATATAAGAAATATATTAATTTATAAACCTTTGGTTTTGTAATATAAACACAAAATAAATAATAGTTTTTAGTTATTTTATTTTTAAAATTATTAATATGGGGGTATACCCTTTATTTTTTTTCTTTTAGTATTTGTTTATTTCTGTTGGGTATATGGGCTTGACATTAATCTTGAACGTTTGATGAGGGACATAACGAAAACAACAAACATCATTACGACAGTTAAAATTCCCATAGAAGTGGTGGCATAAAAACTATGGGAATAGCATTTGTGTGGTGTTTTATCATTAAATATAACTATATTATTATGACAATAGTGACTATAATAGAGAAAATGTTAGTTATTTTATTATTTAATTAATATTATTAAAAAAAGTTATGTTGCTTACTTTCCAGCACGAGATGAGATAGCATCATAAACAAATGAATATCCACCAAGAGCACAATCGGCCAAAATCAAACTAATTACCATATAAAAGAATACCTTTGATTTTCTGAAAATTGAGACGAATAATAAAACACTTAAAGCAACGAATAAAAGTAGGTATAAAATACGAACTGCATTTCTGGAAACAGACCATGTACATTGGATTTCTCCAGTTTTAAATGTAGCTCTAAAGGGTGTTACTACCCCATCCATATCACAGAGCTTTTTATCTATATTGGTGTACTCGTCATTTATTTGCCAAAAAGAGAGACCCAAAGTTATAATTGTAAAAGCTTTTTTTATAAATGTAAAAAAAAAAAAATTAGAATTAAAAAATAAAATAAATAAGTTTTTTTAAAATATTTACATAAAGAAACAATTTGTAATACAAATATAAGAACTGTACCCATTATATAATATATATGTGTTTTTAACTATATAATAAAATAAAAAAACAATAAATTATTTTCTTTAAATAATGAGCTAAATAAAAATAATTTGGTATTTAATTTAATTTTTTTAATTTTAATTTTAATTTTAATTTTAATTTGTTTTTTTTTTTTTTTTTTTAAGTTAAGTGATTTATTTATCAATATGTTATAAATAGTTATTTATAAACAGTTTGTATTTATATATATAAATGGATATCGAATTTCATTCATGTTACTTTCTATCACATAAAAGTATAGATTATTTAATATGTGTGTGAGTGTTAAGTGTGTTTTAGGGGGAAAAAAAAATTGTTTTAATATTGTTTCACACAATTAACACACAAATCATAGAAACAAAAAAAAAATTACTATTGTCCTATATCTAAATTCACACAATACACACAACACAATATGTAATATACAAAATAAATTTAAATTTAAAAAATTGAATTTTTTTTTTAATTATTTTGCTATATATACAATATTATTTATTTTTATAATTATATTTCAGTTTTATAACCTTCGGCTCCAAATACTGTATTACGTTTAAAGAAAGATACAATAGCCATGGCAAACATTAAGACTACTGTTAAAACACTGATGGCAGTTACACCATAGAATCTTCCTGGTTCACATTCATAATCAACCTTTATACCTACTATGGTAGGTTTAAAACTATTTTTACAAAAATCACTGGAATTAAAAAAAAGTATTAATATAATGTATTTATTTATTAATTAATTAATTAATTTATAGTAAAACAAACTTACTTTCCATTAGATGCTGCTCTTCCATCGGCAATAAATGAATAAAAACCCATTACACCAACACCAAGTATTATAATAATTGAAACTATATATAATTTTGTAGATCTCTTAAAAACTGCAATAAAATAAAGAGCACTCATAATCTACATTATATAATAATATGTAAGTATAAAAAAAAGGATGCTTTACACTTAGGTATTTACTTACAAAGAAAATTAATAAATATAAAAGACGTACTGCAGTTCTAGTTGTACTCCAACCACACTGTACCAATGAACCACCTTTTATTGTGGCTCTCATGGGTCCACCCAAATTACTACAAGATCCTTCTGTCCATGTAAAATTTTTTAACTCATCCCCACTTTCCCAACAAGATAAACCAAATGTAACAAGTGCAAGAACTATATAAAAATAAATAAATAAAAAAATAAATAAAATTTTAATATACAAAAACAATGAAAATAAAAAAAATAAAATAAACTTACCGATTGTGATGATTTTTACAGTGATAATAGCAACTCTTCCCATTTTTTATTTTTTATTTGTTTGTGTTAATAAAAAAAAAAAAAAATCAAAATATTTTTTCGTTAAATTAAACAAAAAAATTTTGGTTACCTAAAAAATTGAGTAAAAAAATCACTCACCAGAAAATATTATTTTTTTTTTTTTAAAATATTTTTTTTTTATTTTTTGTTTTTTTTTTTTTTTTACCAAATTTGATTCATTTATTTTATAATTAATAAAAAAATGATTATTTGCATGATGAATGTTTAAAGAATGATAAAATAACCAACAAAGGCAAATATTAAAATAACTTTTATTTTTTCCATGATAAATCAAAGGGGATAATAGCAAAAACTAATAAATGAATAAATTTGGTTATAAAAAAAAAAAAAATTCAATGTTGAAAAGGAGTTATGTCTGTAATCAATTTTTATTATGAAATGGACAATTATAAAATTAAATTTATAACCTTTGAATATTTTATTTTTTGTTTTTAACTAAATTGATGCAGTTGATGAAAGAGAATAGTTTGGATAGCCATCTTCCTCTTCGAGTTTAAAGAAACCTTTGTTTTGTGTATTTACAGAGTCACTATTGTTAGTGTTTGCATTTGAATCTGAGTTTGAATTTTTGTTGTTATCATTATTATTATTATTATTTGCTTTAATATTCATTAATGTGTTACGATTTAAAATTGATATGATTGAAATGGCAATCATCATAATGGCAGACAAAGCATTAAAAGCTATAGTAGCATAAATTTTATTATATATACAGTTGTATTTTACGAGACCCTTTGAAGTCTTGATTGGGTTTTTAAAAGATAGAGTACAAGATTCGCTATAGGTTATTTTTTAAAAAAAAAAAAAAAATTAGTACAAAATAATAACTTTTAACAATAAAAGGTTAATAATTACTATGAAAACTTTGTTACTTTTGCATCTGCGATAAATGAATAAAAACCAAATATTCCAAAAAAGAATAGAGCGCCTATAAAACATAAAAAGAATAAATTTTTATTTTTTCTACCAGAGAATACTAAACCATTTAAGCATACTATAGCAACAATTAAATATGTTATTCTAACCATACTTCTATACCAACTCCATGAACACCCACCAGAAAAGCTCTTATGATCCCCTACAACACTAAACTCGATCGCTATTGGCTTTAATGGGTGACTTTCGCACCAATCCTTTTTAGTGGTTTCTTCTATTAGAGTGTTGTCATCATTTACTTGAGAAAAAGAGAAAATTAAACACAAAATAATAAAAATCTATTTTTAAAAGAAAAGTTTATACTGTCAGATGGGATATGATGATATGAGCTGGTTGTACCAATTTCTTAAATTCAAGTAATATGGAAATCAGATTATTTTTTTTTTAAAAAATACTTACACCTGTGAGTATATATAAACCATAAATTATTTTTTTATTCATACTTAAGGTGCATCAAATTTGAACAAAAAGAAGTTTTATGGAAAAATGATAAAATATTTTTTGGTTATAAAAAAAAAAAAAAATTCTTGATTTTTTGGGGAAATGAATTTTTTTTTTATTTTTATTTTTTTTTTAGAAATATTATTTTTTCTAGATATTGTTTAAATATTTTGATTTATAAAATTTTCATTTAAATTACTTTGTTATAGTTATAACGGGTGAATCAGTCCACTCATATTTATATTTATATTTATATTTATATTTATATTTATATTTATATTTATATTTATATTTATATTTATATTTATATTTATATTTATATTTATATAACTATTTTTATTTATATTTATATTTATATTTTTATTTTTATTTATATTTTTATTTATTTATATAACTATTTTATATTATTTATAGTTTCTTTTTTATTCACAAAATTTATTTTAATTTTATTTTATTTTATAATTATGTTATTGTAAATTGTAATGTGGCTTGGTCACCCTAAGGGGGGTGAACATGGATATTTTTTCAAATAACGCCATAAATAATTAATTATCCATAATTATATATTTCTATAATCATCTTTTAACTGAAATTATAATAATTATATTTCGAAAATTAAAAAACAAAAAATTCAAAAAAAAAAAAAATAAAAAAAAATAAAAAAAAATAAAAAAAATGATTTTTTTTTTATTTTTTATTTGGATATTATTGCCGGTTTGTGGTGTTAATTAAACCAAAAAAAAAAGAAAATATTCATAATTTTTTTCTTTAACAAAATTTTTGTTAATCAAAAGAATTTATAGAACCTAATATTAAAAACAATAATTATTATCTTTACAATGAAGATTTTATATTATATTATTTATGTATTTATATTTTTTACTGTAGTTTTATTAAATAGTAATAATAGTATACGTGCATATGCAAAGTTGATAGAATCAGAAAGTAATTTTTTTATATATTGTATTATAGTGCCATTAAATATAAAATTGTATACTAATCATTTATTTTATTATTTTTTTCAGCTACATGTTTAAGTAATTTAATATCAAAAGCATTATTATCGTATCCAAAAAATATAGACCCAGATAATAGTTCATTATCTTTATATTGCGAAAACTATAGTAGTAATTTTAAATGTACAAATGACTATAAACTAAGTGAACTGTTAGTATCAATTAAAAAATATTAAATAACAATAAAAAGGTATCATCATATTGATTTAATAAACTAACCAATTTGTTAAATCATATATAATATAGTTCAATATCAAACATTATAAGTTTAAATGGTTTCGATGCAAGTGATTTCGAATGTTTTTCCCAACCAAATTTAAAAATTACACTAGAAAATGGGTTTAAAGTTAATGAAAATGTATATTATTCAACAAAATACAAAGGTTTTCAGTTTAACCTAAATAATTGTTGGGTATCCTCAATTAACAAAAATATACCTCAAATATCATCTCTTAATATTGTAACTAGACTGGGACAGGGATGGAGTAGCGATGTAAAGTTATCGTATATTAAAGATATTACAAATTTTTCAATTACAGGATCAGGTATTATCAACTATAGATATATTAACGATTTATCAGCACCTGCAGATGGAACCAAATATAATTTGGAATATATAAATAGTGTTTCTAGAAATATTCCAGATATGTCCCATACTAATATCATGAGATTGTAAGTTTTTATTTTTAAAATATTATTATTTTGCATTTTTATTAAAGTCTTTTTTTAAAATTTTAACAGAAATATTGTTATTACATCATCAATATATACTTTTGATGCTGCAAGTATGTCAAATTTGGGTACATCCCCTAGTATTCAGTATATTTCAATTACTGGTGATTCATCACAAAGAGTTCCATTCCCAACATCAATACTTTTATTAAAAAATTTATTAGGATTGTAAGATTGTTATTTAGTTAAGCTTTAATAGTATTCATTTTATTAATATTCATTTTATTATTTAGTTCAAGTACAAATCTTTATTATACAACTTCAGGTTCTATCGATTTTTCAAAAATGACAACTTTAACTGAGTTATATTTCGAAAAAAGTGATGGTTTTTCAACAGATAATATTCAAATTGTTCCCAATGGCATTCCTAAATCGCTTAAATCATTTACAATTAAAAATACAAAAATTAAATCTTCATATCCATTTTATGGTTTCTTTGTCAATACACCAAATGTAATTGCAACTGGTTGTAGTTTACCAGATAATTTAGAACAGGTAGTTCAATTAGCAGATACAAATAAAATGAAAACCTTAGACCTTTCATACAACTCATTAGGTGGAACAATGTCCGAAAAGTTTTGCAAGGTTCAAAATCTTAATATTTTTTCAAATTACTTGAAAGGAGGTCCAATTCCAAGGTAAATATTATTCATTTTAAAAGATATATTATCATTGTTTCTATATTAATTTTTTTTAAAAAAGTTGTTTTTATTGCCATTTTAAAAACAATAAGGCACTATTAGATAAGGTTACAGGCCCACTACTTTCTAGAAACCAATATACCAATTTCGATTACCTTAAAGATACCTACTATAATTACCCATCGTGTAATTCAATTATACCAGATTTAAAATTTGAAAATGGTAAAACTTATCTTTTTGGAGCTGATTTAGGTTTTGACCCAACTTATTTCAATACAGTCCCAAGTGCCACATGGAATGTCGATGTTTCAAGTAATTCTTTTTATAAAGAAGGTGTAGATATTGAGCAGTTTGATGTTACTTTTATTTACCCAAATCAAAAGTTTACAGTATCAGCACTTAAATTACCAGCTCAAGTTACTCAAGTTTATGTTTCATCATCTGGCCAATTATCTTTTACAGGTTCTTATTTCAGTTATAATATTGGATCAATTAAAGCTGGTATTGTGAATGGAGCTGGATGCACAGTTTTATCAAGTACTTTTTATTCGATGGTATGCCAACCTACTGTTCCAATTTCATCAATTCAAAATCTTGTAGATGCAAACTTTTCAATTACAATAGGTACTCAAACAGCATATATACCAATTACATTCATACCTGACTTTACAAATCGTTATTTATCTTGTTCAGAAGATTGCACAAACAAAGGTAACATTATTTACAAACTATTTAATGTTTCATTGATTATATATTAACAGTTTTTTTATAGGATATTGTGATAGAAATTCAGGATTATGTATTTGTAAAGGTTGCAGTAAATCAGGAGACCATGGTAAGTGTGATATTAAAAATAGAAAATGTAACTGCGACACTTTTTGGATCGGTGTCGAATGTAACACTCCTGATCATTATGTATCATCTGTAGTTCCATCAAACATTGCAGGTGGTAATGTAACATTAAATGGATGGTATGGCCCAATTCACAACAATCCATCAGTTCAAATCGGTAATGTTTTAACAGGTTACAAAGATTGTCAAATTTTAGATTTCACCACATCTACAATAAAATGTTTAATTGGAGCAGGCACAGGAAGACAAAATGTTATTGTTACTCAAAACGACCATTCGTGGACAGGATATGGAATCTATTTATATAATGAAACACTTATGACATGCCCCAACGATTGTACCAATTCAACAGTCGGCTCATGCGATGTTAGATTTGGTAATTGTATTTGTAAAACCAACTATACAGGAATTGATTGCGGTACAAGAGTTATATACCAACCACCACAAAGCAACACTACAGTAGATCAAGGCTCAGGTTCAACAAATATAACAAATGATGGAACCAAATATATTGTTAGAATAAGTAAACTAGCAGAGATATCAATTAATCAAACTATCGTAGCTGAATACAATTTAGATCCAAAGAAATGGAATGTTACAGTCACCAGAAATGAAACAGATAACACACTATATACGTTTAAACAACTTGTATCAAAGAACACAACGGTTACATATATAATCGAAGAGATATCGATGGGTGATAAAAACTTTACATTTGCAGATGTTCCTTTCCTAGTAACAAATGGAAGTATTAAACTAACAGTAGATGTTGAAAATTATGAATATCTCACTTCATTAAATACATTACAAATTCAAATGATATCATCAGTCGAATCGATTGGTGAAAGATGCATAATAGAGAAAGCTCAAATCAACAATATTGATCAACAATCATCACTTAACTACATTACGATTTCCAAAGAAGGTAAAACTTTGACAGGTCGTTTTATCAATAGAGCTCTTTCAGACGGTAGACCAACCTATATTTCATCTAATGTTGTATCAAAAGACGAATCATCAATTACAGTTGGATTAAATTTACCACATTGTATTCAATGCATTATTGATCCAGATTTTTCAGTTCTTGTATCATCAATAAAAAAAAATAATGGTTGTGAAACTGAAGAAAAAGAAAGAAAGTGGTTTTTACCAGTTGTAATTGTTATACCAGTTGTAGGTGCAACAGCAATATTAATTGTGTCTATTGTGATTTATTCAAAATATAGAACTGCATTAAGACTCAAATTAAATTCGTTTTTAGATCCATCAATTAAAATGAACGAAATAAATTAATTACAATCACAACCACCAATCATTCACAACCGCAATATAACACTTTTATTTTTCAAATCAAAAAAAAAGGTAAAACATAGCAATTTTATCATAAAACAAACATAGATATTTTATTCAAACAAAAAGCGAAATATCTTTTAACTATTACAATAAAAATTATTTTTTTTTTTAAAAATTATTTATTTTTTTTTTTTTTTTTTTTTTTTAAATTATTTTTTAAAATATCTAATCACAAAATTTAAATCCAAGTCAAATTTTATTTAGAAAATTATTTGGTGTATACTTATATTGTTGTAAAAATAATTGAAGTAATAATAGTCCACTTGAATTTAAAAGTGGAGAAAACAATGAAGTTAATTAATATTTTAATATTAATTTTTATCTATTACAATATTAAAACAGAGGCAAAGCTAATAGAATCAGAAAGTAAATATATTTAAAAAAAAATTTTATTAAAAATTATTAATATTTATTTGTAAATTTTTTTTTTTGATATTATAGCAACTTGTTTAAGCAAATTAATAAATAAAGCTTCATTAGCTTTGGTATATCCAATAAAATATGACCCAGATGATAATTCATTGTCACTATATTGTGAAAATTACAGCAATAATTTCAAATGTACAGGTGACTATAAATTAAGTGAACTGTATGTATATAGATTTTTTATTCTTTATTATTATTTCTTTTTTTTTCAATTTTTTTTATATATAAAACATCAACTAATAAATAATAAAATAAAAATTTAGTTCATTATCAAATAGTAGAGCTAGTGTATCGTATTTAGTTGCAAGTGATTTCGAATGTTTTACCCAACCAAATTTAAAAATTACACTTGAAAATGGATTTATAATATCTGAAGATGTTTATTACTCTACAAATTATAAACAATTTGCATTTACTTTTACTAAATGTTTTTTGCAACACATAAAACAAAATATACCTCAAATATCAACTCTTTATATTACAACAACACTTGGGTGGACTGTCGATGTTAAATTATCTTATATTAAAGATATTACTAATTTCGCACTTAGAGGTACAGGTAATTTCAATTATAAATATATCAATGATTTACCAGCTCTTCCCAATGGAGAAACCTATAATTTAGCATTAATAGATACAAATACTAGAAATATTCCAGATATGACAAATACTGCAATTAAAGTATTGTAAGTTTATTTTCTATTAAGTTTTTGTTATTTAAATTAATTAATATTAATATTTTTTTTATTATAGAAATGTTTTTATAGCGTCATCTACTTTTGATAAATTAAGTATGTCATATTTGGGTTCATCACCTGAGATTATTTCAATTAGATTAACAGGTGATTCATCTCTCAAAGTTGATTTTCCATTATCAATACTTTCTTTAGAAAAAATTACAAGTTTGTAAATATTTTCTTTTAAAATTTTTTTTTAATTTCATTTTAATTAATTTATACTTTTAACAGGACTACAACAAATCTTTTATTCAACAAGCCATTGAACCCTATTGATTTTTCAAATATGAAATTGTTAGACCAATTATATTTTGATAATAGTGGAGATTTTTCAACCGATAACATTCAAACTGTTCCCAATGGCATTCCTAAATCGCTTAAAACATTTACAATTAAAAATACAAAAATTAAATCTTCATATCCATTTTATGGTCTCTTTGTCGGTACACCAAATGTAATTGCATCTGGTTGCAGTTTACCAGATAAGTTGGAACAGGTAGTTCAATTGGCAGATAAAGTGATAACTTTAGACCTTTCATACAACTCAATAGGTGGAACATTGTCCGAAAAGTTTTGCAAAGTTCAAAATCTTAATATTTTTTCAAATAAATTAAGTGGTGGTCCAATTCCAAGGTAAATATTATTCTTTTAAAAAGAAAATATAATTTATAGTTTTTTTAAAAAATTTAATAAAATTTTATTAACTAATTTTGTATTTATAAAAAGTTGTTTTTATTGCCATTTTAAAGGAAATCAAGCATTATTAGACAAAATTAACCCAGGCTTACTTTCAAATATCTTTACTAATTATAACTATGGAACTGCTTCTTATCCATCATGTACCTCTATTTCAGTAGATCTAAAGTTTGAAAATGGGAAAACTTATCTTTTTGGAACTGATTTAGGTTTTGACCCAACTTATTTCAATACAGTCCCAAGTGCCACATGGAATGTCGATGTACCAAGTAATTCATTTTATAAAGAAGGTGTAGATATTCCACAATTTGATGTTACTTTTATTTACCCAAATCAAAAGTTTACAGTTTCAGCACTTAAATTACCAGTTCAAGTTACTCAAGTTTATGTTTCATCGTCTGGCCAATTATCTTTTACAGGTTCCTATTTTAGTAATGTTGTTTCATCAATTAAAGCTGGTATTGTAAATGGAGCTGGATGCACAGTTTTATCAAGTACTTTTTATTCGATGGTATGCCAACCTACTGTTCCAATTTCATCAATTCAAAATCTTGTAGATGCAAACTTTTCAATTACAATAGGTACTCAAACAGCATATATACCAATTACATTCATACCTGACTTTACAAATCGTTATTTATCTTGTTCAGAAGATTGCACAAACAAAGGTAACACTATTTTTAATTATATTTCAAAAAAAATTTTGATATTAATAAAATTTTTTTTATAGGATATTGCGATAGAAACTCAGGATTATGTATCTGTAAAGGTTGCAATAAATCAGGAGACCATGGTAAGTGTGATATTAAAAATAGAAAATGTAACTGCGACACTTTTTGGATCGGTGTCGAATGTAACACACCTGATCATTATGTATCATCTGTAGTCCCATCAAACATTGCAGGTGGGAATGTAACATTAAATGGATGGTATGGTCCAATTCACAACAATCCATCAGTTCAAATCGGTAATGTTTTAACAGGTTATAAAGATTGCGAAATTTTAGATATCACCACATCTACAATAAAATGTTTAATTGGAGCAGGCACAGGAAGACAAAATGTTATTGTTACTCAAAACGACCATTCATGGACAGGCAATGGAATCTATTTATATAATGAAACACTTATGACATGCCCCAACGATTGTACCAATTCAACAGTCGGCTCATGCGATGTTAGATTTGGTAATTGTATTTGTAAAACCAACTATACAGGAATTGATTGCGGTACAAGAGTTATTTACCAACCACCACAAAGCAACACTACAGTAGATCAAGGCTCAGGTTCAACAAATATAACAAATGATGGAACCAAATATATTGTTAGAATAAGTAAACTAGCAGAGATATCAATTAATCAAACTATCGTAGCTGAATACAATTTAGATCCAAAGAAATGGAATGTTACAGTCACCAAAAATGAAACAGATAACACACTATATACGTTTAAACAACTTGTATCAAAGAACACAACGGTTACATATATAATCGAAGAGATATCGATGGGTGATAAAAATTTTACATTTGCAGATGTTCCTTTCCTAGTAACAAATGGAAGCATTAAACTAACAGTAGATGTTGAAAATTATGAGTATCTCACTTCATTAAATACATTACAAATTCAAATGATATCATCAGTCGAATCGATTGGTGAAAGATGCATAATAGAGAAAGCTCAAATCAACAATATTGATCAACAATCATCACTTAACTACATTACGATTTCAAAAGAAGGTAAAACTTTGACAGGTCGTTTTATCAATAGAGCTCTTTCAGATGGTAGACCAACCTATATTTCATCTAATGTTGTATCAAAAGACGAATCATCAATTACAGTTGGATTAAATTTACCACATTGTATTCAGTGCATTATTGATCCAGATTTTTCAGTTCTTGTATCATCAATAAAAAAAAATAATGGTTGTGAAACTGAAGAAAAAGAAAGAAAGTGGCTTTTACCAGTTGTAATTGTTATACCAGTTGTAGGTGCAACAGCAATATTAATTGTGTCTATTGTGATTTATTCAAAATATAGAACTGCATTAAGACTCAAATTAAATTCGTTTTTAGATCCAACAATCAAAATGGACGATTTATAGTTGTATTGTTAATAAAATATTTTTTTTTATTTAAAACTTTTTAATATTGTTATTACATTTATCTATAGTTCTTTACAAATACGTCATATTGGGACTTATCCATTAATTGTTTAAATTCATCTGGCTTGGTTACTTTGAACTTAATCATCCAACCATTTCCATTTGGATCAGTATTAACCAAACCTGGTTTTTTGTGGAGTTGATTATTAACTAAAATCAATAATATTTAATTAGTTTATTTTATTAAATTTTTGTATTTAAAACAAGATAAAATTATTTACCTTCAATAACTTGGCCAGAAACTGGTGCATATAAACCAAAAACAGTTCTATTAGAACCATCTAGTGATCCCATTTTTTCCTCTTCTTTTAATTTTCTATCAACTTTTGGTAACTCTACAGAGTTGACTTTACCTAATCTACTTTGACCAAAATCTGTTAACTAAATTATATACAAATATTAATAAAAAATCTTTTGGTATTATTAAATAATATAGTATAACCTACACCAATAGTTGCAACTTTTCCATCATCTGATAATTTAACCCATTCAAGTTCATTTGAATAATGAGTGCTAAATAAACGGATAGTGTTTTTATTAAATAGATGTTGAGTTATAGATTGTTTATTGGATAATTTATATAGTGAAAACATTTTTTAGTTATATAATAACAAAATAGATAAAAAATTTATTATATAATGTAAAAATAAATATAAAAAAATAATAAAAAAAAAAAAAATAAAATAAATTAAAATTTTTTAATGAATTTTCATTTTTACAAATTATTTATCCCACACCCTCACCCTTTATGAAATTAATATATGATACTGCTACCAATTTCTATCTACACCTATTAGTTTAATTAATGTTAAGTTTTTGATAAAGATATTATAAAATAAATTAGAACTCAATTTCAAGTTTTGTTTTGTGGGAAAAGAAAATATAAAAAAGCAATTGAAGAAGCACTTTTTAAAGAAAATGATTATGCTATGACGTATAATTTAGACGCATATGCTTTAAATGTTTGTTTATTATTATTTTTAAAAAAAAAAAAAAAAAAAAAAAAAGATTATAAAAAAAATAAATATGTTTATAATGTGACAATGTTTAAGATTATTTTAATTTTGAAATAATATTGAAAATACAACCAGCAGCCAGCATCTTTTTTACAATTCTAGCAATATTTAAACTGTCAGATAAACCGCAATGATGACGGCCTTCTAATTCCAAATTTAATTCTCTTAACATATTGGTCATACCATAAGAAGGTTTACTATAAAAATCAGTAAATTGTAATTTAATATTAATCCATTTTTTAAAATAATTTGGTGTTGGTATATTGTTACAAAGTTTTAATTGTTTTTGCAAACATTGACGTAAATCCCAATCACCACAAGTTACAAAACCTATTTCGAAAAAAAAAAGAAAAAAATAATTAGTTTTTTTAAAATTAATTTTTTAGATAAACAATTTAAAAATACATACAAATTTGGTCATTGATAATTTGACCATTTACAATTACACCTGGTAGCGACTCTTCTAACCATTGGTAGTGTCTTTTTAAAACATTTGGGAATAAATCTGCATTATCAACAGTTTCTTGTTTAATACCAGTTAATTCTGTGCAAAATGCTGTTAATTTTGGAACAATAAGTGGTTTGCAATATTCTCTGAATGTTGAAACAATTTCTAAAGTTTCAGTGTTAACAATGACTGATGGGAATTCTATAATTTCTTGATTTGGGAATTTTTGATCTAAAAAATTTAAATTTAAATTATTATTTATTACTATTATTTAAAATTGGTATTCTATTATTCTGATTGTATAATATTATTACCTTTTTCGCAAGTTGCCTCAAAATCTAAAACAATTAAATATTTGAATAGTTGTTTCTTTGGTTCAACACTACTGGTGGGTTGTGAACCTGTTGCTGTAGATGTTGTGGATGTTGTAGATGTATTTGTAGACATTATATATTAAAAATTATTATTATTTGTGTTTGAGCGAGTGTAAAATTTTAAAAATGAAAATTTTTTTTTTAAAATGAAAGAAAAAAAAATTAAAAAAAAAGAGAATTTTTGGAGATATTGAGAAAATTATTTTATTTATAAACATATTTTGGGGTATTTCTATGAAAATTCGATGTGTTCACATATATATCTAAATAGTGCGATTTAATGATTTTTCATTGGATATAATTATTTCTTTCTTTATTATTTTTATTTACATAAAAGAAATAATTTTTTTAAAAAAAATATCTGTAACTGTATTATTTTTTATATATTTTGTCTTGTTCTTGGAGCAAACGGAGTTTGGGCTTGATCAAAGCGATTTAAACGATTTAGTAAAGGTGAAAAGTTTTCGTCTGGATCTCTTTTTAAAAAGTTTTTAATTGCTGCTGGGGTTTGACCTTTTGGTAATGGTGTATTTTGCATATTTTTTAACAAATCTGTGGCACTTTCTGATAATTTAATTTCTTCGGAATCGTCCGGGTTTTGTTGTGGGATGAAAAATTCTGGTTTTGGTTTAAACTGTTGATTTGTTGGTTGGTGTGGATGTAGATAATCGATTGGATACTGGTTTTGTGGATTAATAGTTTCTACCTGAATTGGTTGGTTTACTTTTTGAAATTTATCTTTATTGATGTTGTTATTATTATTATTATTGATAATATTATTATTGTTATTTTTTATTATTGGTGATTTTTTATTTTTAATACTATGATCATTTAAATCCATAGAGTTACTTTGATTAATTTTTTTTGAGAGTTCTAATATTTTATTTTCAAGTTGTTGAAATTTTTCATCAATTGTGTTGCTATTACCATTAGTATTGTTATTACTTTTACTCTTTAAATTTATTTGTGGGCTGTTATTATCATTAAAAGGAGTGTATTTTGAAATTCTATTGTTTATATAATTATCACTTATATTATTATTATTATTTGAATTATTATGATTCTCTTGAAATGAGATTTCATCAACATCATCTTGATCCTTATTCTCTGGAACTAATGGGCTAAAGCTAACACTTTTCTTTTCTTTTTTTGATGATGTTACATTGTTTCCATTTGGTGTAAAATGTGTGTTTGTTTTTTTATTAGATGTAACTATATTATTTTGATTATTTTGATTATTTTTCATATTATTGATATTGTTATTAAACTTTTGATTATTAGATTGTTGGTTATGATTATTATTGCTATTACTGTTGTTGCCGCTACTATTATTATTATTAAATTGGGTAGATATAAAATCATTTTGACCAATATCACAATCGTAAAATAGCATTGAGTTTGATGAATGAGCGGGACTTTTATTATTACTTATATTAATATTACTTAATAAATTACCACCTGGTGTTTTAAATATATTTGTTTGATTGTTATTACTTTGATATGTAGTAGTATTTTCAAAAGGATTAAAATCCATTATCTTTGGAGTATCTATAACAAGTGGTACTTGATTGTCAGTATAGATTATTTGGGATGGGGAAGATGGTATATCGCCCTCGCCATTTAACAATATTTGCTGTATTCTTGGTACAGAGTAATCGTTAGATGTTATTGATAACAATGCAGTAAATCTACCGGGATATGGTGGTATAAACGATATATTACTTTCAAATTCATCATTTGGTGAAACAATGATTGGAAATGTAAAATTTGATACAATTTGAAATATTTCTTGTGGTTGGTGGTGAAAGTTATTTGATGGTGATGATGGACTGGTGTTATAGTTTGGATTATTAGCATTAGTATAATTAAATGTATTATTATGTCCATTTATTGTTTTATCATTATTATAACGATTAGGCGAGTTGAATGGTTTCATTGATTGTTGTAAAAATAAGTTTGTAATTATAAATGGTTTTGTATCAGTATTTGCCACTAATCATTATTAACAGGTAATTTATAAAATTTAAAGTAGTTAATTAGTGTATTGTTTAAAATGTTTTTTATTATCTATATATATGTATGTACTCACGTGTAAATTTAACAATTCTTTTTTTACCTATAATAACTCTGTGAAAATCGATGCCCCCAATTACGACAGTGCCAGAATGTGAGGATCTTAATGAATAATGATTTATTGTTGTATTATTTACATTTGGTTGTGGGGTATAGTGTTGATTCATTTTTCATATTGGTTTATTTTTCTTTTATTATTACTTATTTATAAACACAATTTTGATATTAATTCATTTAGAATAAAAAAAAAATAAAAATAAAAATTATTTATTTAAAAAAAAAATTCAAAAAATTCACATTTTTTTTTTTTTTTAAAAAAGCGCCTTATTTAAAAATCTTTTTTTTTTTTATTTATTTTTTTAAATTTTTACACACCCACAACAACTTATAAATATACTGTAATATTCACCCCCCCTATATACTCACACTACATAATCATATAATTAAATGAATAAGAGTGTTAAAAAACCTGGTGCATCAACATTCAAAGGATTTAAAAAAAATGATAAAACAGGGTCAAAAGTAAATTTAGAAGGTTTTGGACCTTTTATAGACGGTATAGACTATAGTGAAGAGGTAAAAAAATGTTGTGACTTTTTAGAAAACTATAGCTATAGAGATTATGTCTATAAAGATACAACTAATAACGAAGATGAACATATGGAACCTCAAGATATGGATGATATAGATAGTAATACTAATAATAATGGTAATAGTGGTAACAGGGTTAAACTGGCAGAAAATATATTTAAATATAGAGATATGATAGTAAGTATCACATATCTATATATAATATTTAATCATTTATTTATTGGTAATTAAATTTATATTTTTAATTTTAAAAATAGAAACAAGTTGCAAATAGAAAAAGAAAACAATTTGATATCGAATTGGATGATGTTTTTTATTATAAAAGAGATATAGAATTTGTACAATCAATAGAGAATCATACATTAACCTATCATAGACTATTTACATATGCATTGGATCAATTAATGCCACCACCACTTTCAGTACAATCAACCATCAATAATTCAGTCAATAATAGCAATAGCGAAGAAGAAATTTATCAAAATTCAGATATGGTTTTAGATTTATTAGCAGCCCAAAGAATTGAAAGAAAAAGACAACTATTAGAACAAAATGAAATAAAAGCAGATTCAACTGAATTTGATTTCCCAAAAGAAATTTTAAGAAGATTGTAAATATATATTTATTAATATTATTTTTTATTTTATTTATTTTTTGTTTTTTTAACTTACCAATTAATTATTTAAAATAATTTTTAATTTAAATTTTAGTGAATTACATTTAATACCAAGAATAAATAAACCATTAATACCAATTAGATTAATTAGAAGTGAACATATCGGTAGATTAGTTACATTAACAGGTATTTGTACACGTGTTACAGATGTTAAACCATTAGTAGTGATTGCATTGTATACATGTGATTCATGTGGTGCTGAAGTATTTCAAGAGGTTACATCACGTGAATTTATGCCATTATTTGATTGCAAGAGTAAACAGTGTAACGAAGCAGGTAAAAGAGCAGGTACTCTAACATTGCAAACTAGAGGTTCAAAATTTATAAAGTTTCAAGAGGTAAAAATTCAAGAAATTGCCAATCAAGTACCAATCGGTCACACTCCACGTTCAATAAAGGTGTACATGAGAGGTGAATTAACAAGAAAAGCCTCTCCTGGTGATATTGTCACATTAAGTGGTATATTTTTACCAACACCATACACTGGTCATAAAGCAATACGTGCAGGTTTATTAGCAGATACATTTATTGAAGCCCAAAAAGTTACTCAACACAAAAAAACCTATGAACAATTGGATCTTACAGAAGAGGTTATCAATAAAATCGAGATGGAGTCTCAAAGTGGATCAATTTACGAACGTTTATCAATGTCTTTAGCTCCAGAAATTTATGGCCATTTGGATGTAAAGAAAGCCCTCTTGTTAATGATGGTTGGTGGTCAAACAAAGCGCATGAGTGACGGTATGAACATTAGAGGAGATATCAACATTTGTTTAATGGGTGATCCGGGTGTAGCCAAAAGTCAATTACTTAAACATATCGCCAAAGTTGCACCACGTGGTATTTATACTTCAGGTAAAGGTAGCAGTGGTGTAGGTCTTACCGCTGCTGTTATCAAAGATTCGATATCTGGTGAATTTGTACTAGAAGGTGGTTCCTTAGTGTTGGCCGATATGGGTATTTGTTGTATTGATGAGTTTGATAAAATGGATGAAAGCGATCGTACTGCAATTCACGAAGTTATGGAACAACAAACCATCTCTATCGCCAAAGCTGGTATTACCACAACACTTAATGCCAGAACTTCAATTTTAGCCGCTGCCAATCCTGCATTAGGTCGTTACAATTTCAGCTATACTCCAGAAGAAAACTTTAGGCTTCCACATTCATTATTATCACGTTTCGATCTTTTATTCCTTATGGTTGACAAAGCAGATTTAGAAGCCGATCGTTTACTCTCTGAGCACGTTACATTTGTACATATGCACTCAATGCCACCACAACTCTCTTTTGATCCATTCGACCAAGAATTTATTCGTGCATATGTTTCACAGGCAAGAAAAATAACACCACATGTTCCAAAAGAACTAACTGACTTTGTTGTTGACTCTTATATCACCCTCAGAAAACAAGACTCTGAAAGTAAGCATCCATTCACTTATACTACTGCTCGTTCACTTTTAGGTATTCTTCGTTTAGCTCAAGCATTTGCAAGATTAAAATTCTCTGAAACTGTTTCAAAAGAAGATATTGAAGAGGCTATGCGTCTTATGTTTATGTCTAAAGAATCGATTAGAGTTAGTAAGGAAAAGAAAGCACATGTTAATCCAATTTCAGCTATTTATTCAATTATCAAAGACTTTTGTAAACAAAATAAAGTTTCAAAAGTTAATATTTTAGATATCCAGCAAAAAATAGTTTCATCTGGCTTCACTAAACAACAAATGGAAGAATGTTTTAGTGTTTATAAAGATGTTTTATATATTAATTCAGGTTCAATATTATTAGTTTAAAAAGATAAACAAAAAGAAGAAAAAAAAAAAAAGTTTAAAAAATATAATAAAAAACATTATTTGTAATAAATTTAAAATTTTTTTTTTATTTTAATTTGGACTTATTTCTGTAGATTTTAATGTTGATGTTGTATTTTCCGATAAATCTATTGATATAAAATGATTATCATCTTGTGGTCTTTGATTTAAAGAATATTGTTGGTTTTTTTGTTCATTTAAATTATTATCTTTACAAAATGTACTATTATTATTATTACTGTCATTATTATTATTATTATTATTATTATTATTATTATTATTATTATTATTATTATTATTATTATTTATATTAATTATATAGTGATTTTCATCAATTTGTTTTATAATTGTTGTATTACTATTGCTATTTGTTTCGTTTTGATAACCATCAACACAAATTATTAATGATGGTTTTTTATCTTGGTTAGTTGATGTATTGTCTTTTTCTTCCCTTATTATATCATTTTCGTATTCTATTATTGATCTTTGTTTTCTTGCAAAGTGCATTGTTAATACTTCTGTTGAAAACCAGATAATTTCGCAAATTGATTGAAATATATCTTTTGGTGTAATTGTACCAGAAAAATCGCTCCATATATCTGAATTCATCAAAATTAATGGTATAAAGTCAAATAAAAATAAAACTAAACTAAATAAGAAAAACTAAATATTTTAAATTAATATAATTACAATAAATTATTATTAAAATTAAAACTAATATTTACAATAAATAATAAAACCGATCTTCTACTATAACTTGATATAAATCCAAAAATCATTGTAGCAAAATCAAATGAAAAAGAAATATAAATATACCATGGTAAAAATTGATAATAAAATGAAAATATAAACACTATTGTTATCTATAAATTCCAAAAAAAAAAAAAAAAAGGTTAATTTTATGTATAAAATAATACTGTATAAAACCTATACTAAAATATATTTACCAATTTTAATAAAAGGGTTAACTGTAACATGCATCCTATTTTTCCTATATTATCGAAGCATTGCTTTTTAAAAAAGTTATAAATCAAGAAAATCATTTATGTCACAAAAGAAAAAAAAAAAATTAATGTTTTTTTTTTTTATTTATTTTTTATTTATTTAGTAAAAAAAAAAACTAAAAAAAATAAACTATTAAAATAGTGTATAACTAAAAAAGATAAAATTTAAAAATAAAAAAAAAAAAAAATTTATTGATAACAATAATTAATTAAAAATATAAAAATTTATGTAAATATAAAAATACCTTTTTTTAGATATATTTTTTATATTTGTGTGTGTGTATTTTCTTTTCAATTTACTTTCTCCTCTTTATTTATTTTTTTTAGTTATAAATATACATTCATATACCTTAATTGATATAATTATATAAATATTATTAGTTTGTGTTATTTTTATTTGTGTGAAGTGTGGTAGTGTGATATTTTTTTTTTATTTTGCGTGGGTATGTAGAATGTTTGTGTGATATTAAAAAACAAATTTCAAAAGGGGTTAAAAATAAATCAAATGATAGATGGAAAATAAATAAAAAAAACATATGAATATCCTATAAAAATATTTAGCACTATTAAATCTAATTATTTTTAATTTATCCAAATACAAGTATCTATTAATAAATTAGTAAATTGGCTTTTTTATAAAAGTTATATATATAAACAAAACAAAAAAATACATAAAGCTTAGAAAAAAAAAAAACAATTGAATAATGATGTAAAAAATTGTATAATGTAAACTTTGAAAGTCTCTTTATATTAATATACAAATAAATAAAAACACTATTTTTACTATTATTATTTTATGATTAAAGATTTACTTTTGTGATATTATCTCTTTAAAATCTTGATTTTCTTTTATTTTATTTTATTTTTTATATTTTTATTTATGTTCCTATTTATTATATATTTGTAAATATGTATAAGTGTATTATGTACATGGGTATAATTTATTTTGATCCTATTTTTAGTTTTTAAAAATAAATAATTTTATTATTATTATTATTATTTATTATTATTATTATTATTATTATTATTATTATTATTATTATTATTATTTATATTATGATTTTTGATTTTTGATTTTTCAACAAAATGTTATTAAACTATTTTCTAAAATTTGTTTTTAGAACTTGAATTCTTTACGATTTCAAGACCTTTATCTTTTAAAAATGATTATATAGGTTAATATTAATCTTTTAATACGTTTTTCTTTTTTTTTTAAAATACTTACTAAAAATCATTTCTCCTGAATTTAAATAAATCAAAAGACCTGTTCTAACTTTATCGTTTCTTATTTTACTAACTGATCTGATTCTGTTTGTGTTAAATAATGAAAAAAATGAAAAATTAGTAAAAATGAATAGAACAAACCTGATTATAAACTATATTATGTATCCATACAATGAATAATTGGTAAAATGTCTAACTGCTGCTACGCCTGTGCTTAAAATAGCGGCATCGGCAACAAATGAAACGATATGTGAAAATAACATTCTGTGTGATGAAATGAAATTAAATTTTTTGAAATTTTTTAAAAAAAAATAAAAAATAAAAATTTTTTGAAAAAATAAATTAAATGATTTTGGAAAAAAAAATTTATATTGATTTATTTATGGAAATATTTAAATTTATTGAGTGAATCAATTTATCTATTCAATTAATTCTTTTTAGACTTTGATTCCAAAAGTTACACGAAAAAATGATTCTAAAATTTTTATTTTTTTATTTTAATTTTCCTTTTTTTTAATTTCATTTTTTTTTTATTTAAATTTTTATTTTTTTATTTTTTTTATTTTTATTTTTATTTTTATTTTTATTTTTTTGAAATTGTATAAATAGTGAAAATATTTATAAATCATTTTAAATATTCACACCCCTTCTAAACACACATTTTCACACAAAAATAATAGAAAAAAAATCATTATTATTTAGTAGTTTTTTTTTTTTTAAATATTAAAAACAATTATTTTTCTTTTTTTTTTTATATTATTATCTGTTTATTATAGTTTTGCAGATAATAATAATATTTAATTTGTAAACAAAAAAAAAAAAAAACATTTTTTATTTTTTTTAATAGTTGTTTCCACACTGGAATTAAGATTTCATTTTTAGTGAAAATATAAATATAAATATATAAATATAAATATAAATATAAATAAATTAAAAAGTATAAATAAAATATTAATAAATATAAAATATAAATAAATAAATAATATAATATAAAAACAAATAAATAAATCAAGATGGGTAGGTTTGGGGCAGTATCATATAGACAAGTTAGGATGAGTGAATCCTATACATCTGATGAAAATGAAAATGAAAAAAAGCCAAGATGGTTTCAGCCTAAAAAATGGTTAAAGCAAACATTACCAGAAAGTGTTAGTAAAAGATTGTTCACAGAAACTTTAGAAGACGAAATAGAATTAAGAATAAAAGAAGGTGGCAAAACTAGAAAAGAAGTAGAGAATGACTTGATATCCCAAATTCCTTTATCTCAATTATCAGTTACCAACATTAACAATATTAGAAGTAAAGAATCGGAGCTTGCTTTAAAGAAACCAGGTTGGGTAATGGCAGGGAAAATGATTAAACTACTTTTACCTTATTATTGGGCCAAGGGTAATCTCTCGTTGAAAATTCGTGTAATTGTTTGTGTTTCAATTATTTTTGCAAGTAAATTGTTAAATCTTTACACACCAATTCTTTTCAAGAATATTATTAATAATCTTCCAGGTATGTATATAATCAAACCATTTTTACTCTTTTTACATTTGTGTTATTAACTTTTTTTATTTTTTTTATCTATGTAATGTATAGCACACGTACCTTGGCATTGGCTTGTTGCATATGGTCTATGTACATTGGTTCAAAAGTGTATTTGGGATATTCGTGATTTAATTTTTCAAGATGTTAGTGACAATGCTGTAAAGCATATTAATTTAGAAACTTTTGACCATCTCTTCGACCTATCACTTAGTTATCATTTAAATAAAAGAACAGGTAGTCTAATCAAAATTGTAGAAAGAGGTGCAAATAGTGTAGTTCAATTATTATCATTACTCTTATTCAATATCTTCCCAACTCTTTTAGAATTATTCACTGTAACAGTATTTTTATTATTCTCTTATGGATCTGCTTTTGCCGTTATCAATTTATTTTCTTGTTTACTTTATATAGGTTTCACATTATTTTTAACTGAAGTAAGTAATGCTATAATTGTTATTTTATCTATTTTATTTTATATTAATTTTTATTTTTAGTGGAGAACTCAACATAGAAGGTTAGCAAATAAAAAAGAAAATGAAGCATCAGATATTAAAGTCGATTCATTAATGAATTTCGAAACAATTAAATATTTTACTGCCGAGGCTCACGAAAGAAAGAGATATGAAACCTCATTAAACGAATATTTTTATGTAAACAAGAAATCAAAGGTATCATATTTTATTTTAAATTTTGGTCAAGCATTCATCATTATATTTGGTTCTATTTTAGGTCTATCACTTGCAGTTTGGAGAGCAGCAGAACAACCATCATTTAGTACTGGTGATATCATTGCCATTAATTTATATATAGCTCAAATGTTTGCACCACTATCATGGTTGGGTACATCTTATAGAATGATTTTACAATCTTTTACAGATATAGAACAACTATTCGATTTATTGCACACTGCCCCTGACGTTGCTGACTCCCCAGATGCCACCGAATTAAATTTATTCGACCATTTAACAGGTCATACAAGATTACCATCGGTCGAATTTAAAGATGTTCATTTCTCCTATAAATCATCCCAAGCTGGGTCAGCTAAAAATAGTGAAGGTAATGTCGATGTAATCAAAGGTGTATCTTTTTCAATTCCAGCCGGTAAATCTGTGGCTCTTGTAGGCAGTAGTGGTGGCGGTAAATCAACACTATTCCGTTTACTTTGTAGATTCTATGATGTTGACCAAGGAGAAATTTTAGTTGATGGTCAAAATGTTAAAAATTTAACTCAACTCTCACTCAGAAAAATTATTGGTGTTGTACCACAAGATATCGTACTATTCAATGACACAATTGCCTATAACATTGGTTTTGGTAATAGAAATGCTACTGATGATCAAATTATAGAGGCTGCAAAGAGATCTCAAATTATGGAATTTATTAATAAATCACCAGAAGGTTTCAAAACAGTTGTAGGTGAAAGAGGTCTTAGATTATCAACAGGTGAAAAACAAAGAGTTTCAATTGCAAGAGCCTTATTGAAGAATCCACCCATTTTAATTCTTGATGAAGCAACTTCCTCTTTGGATACATTCACCGAAAGAAATATTCAGAATGCTCTTAATGAAGTTTCATATGGTCGTACAACACTAGTAATTGCCCATCGTTTGTCAACTATTGTAAACTGTGATGAAATTATTGTATTAAAGAAAGGTGTAATAGCAGAAAGAGGTACTCATAATCAACTTTTAGAATTAAATGGTGAATATGCTTTACTTTGGAACGAACAGGCTTCAAAAAAAGCTACAAATACAATTCCAATCGAATAAATTTATTTTATTTTTAAAATTAAATCTAAAACAATCATAAAAAAATATTTATTTTAATTTCAACTTTTTTTTTTTTTTTTAATTTTTTTTTTCAACAAATTGCTTTTATTAAAATTTTTTTTTTTTTAATTTTTTTATTGTTATTTTAAAAAAAAAAATGGAACCTTCATCATATATTAAAAAAAATGATAAAATAGTTTTAATGTGCAACTATGGTTTTAGGGACATGACAATTAATTTATTAAATTGTTTCGAAAAATTAAATATATCAAGAGATAGATTTTTATTATATGCAATCGATGACAAATCCCATCAATTTTTCAAGAGCAAAGGTATTGAAAGTATCAGATTTTCAAGAGATGAAACAAATAAGAAAATAAACACAGAATTTTTTGATAACGAAGGTGTTTATGGGGAAGAAGCAGAATCATATGGCAATATTGGATTTAGAGCAATTTGTAATGAAAAACCATTAGTTGTTTTAGAAGTTTTAAAACAAGGTTACAATGTATTGTGGACAGATACCGATATAGTTTGGCAAAAAGATCCATTTATTCACTTTTATAACGAAATTAATAAGAGCAACGGTTTCGAAAATAATGATGATATCGATCTTTATGTCCAGCAAGATGATGATGATATTTGCGCAGGTTTCTATTTCATCAGATCAAATCCCAAAACAATCAAATACATTCATGACACTATAGCATTTTTAAATCCAATGATTGACGACCAAATTGCTATGCGATTATTTTTAAAAAGTCAAGGTGTTAATATCCTATCAAAAGAAATTCTATTAAAAGTAAATAATTATTAAAAAAACATTTATTTATAGTGATACTAATACCAATAATAAAAAGAATCAAAATAGTGATAAAATTAAATATGTATTATTAGATAGAAAATTATTTCCAAATGGTACAGCTTATTTTAATTTAAAACTTACACAAAGAGCAAATATTACACCATACATTGTTCATAATAATTGTATCATTGGTCATAGAAGTAAAAAAGAAAGATTTATAGAATATGGTCTTTGGAGTGTTGATGAAAAGAGTTTAGATATTAGCAATAATGATAATATTTCAAATAATGAAAAAACTTTAATATCACCCAAACATATTCTAAAGGCTCATACAGATATTATTACAAGTATCTCTTCATCAAACAATCAACTATATACAACTTCTATGGACAAATCAATTAAAATCTGGGAGATAAATGTAAGATACGATTATATCCCTCTTTAATATATGAAATATAAAACTAATCTTTTATAAATTTATATTATATAGGGTAATACACAATTGTTTAAAGTTTTAAAATCAAAATATATTCATAGAAGAGGTGCAATTTGGAGCACTTTTATAGATGACATTAAGGAAACTATTTTAACAGCTTCACATGATAAAACTGTTCAAATTTGGAATAAAAACTTTGAATCCATCAATACATTTTCAGGTCATACCGGTATAATCAATCAAATGGTAGTTATTCCAAACTCTGATTATATATTGACATGCTCTGATGATTCTACAATTAGGTTGTTTAGCACTCAAGATTCTAGCTATAAAAGGGTATATTTGGGTCATAGTAGTTGGGTTTCATCGATAGCCTTTAATAATAATATAATTTATTCATGTTCCAATGATGAAACCATTAGACTTTGGGATTTTAAGGTATGTAATATAACATTAACAATATACTTTCTGCGTATAATTAACAATATTTTTTATTTAGACTGGTAGATGTTTAAATATTATTAAACCATACCAAGGATGGATTAGAAAAATAATTTTAAATTTAAATAACTTGATAAGTGCAGGTAATGATGGAACAATAAAAATTTGGCAATGTAATGAGCAAGGTTATATTATTAACGAAGAACAATTTAAAGAAATCTATACAAATGGAAATTCTTCAATTAATGACATGGTAGTTCATGAAAATATTCTATACTGTGCCTTTGATAATGGTTCTTTGAAATCATACAATTTAACAACATTGCAATTAGAAAAAGACTATCTTGGCCATAAACCATCCTCTATTAATTGCATCCATGTTTCCAAATCTTTAAATCTATTATTTACTGGTGGTTTCGATAGACAAATAAAATCGTGGGAATTATAACTAAATAAAATAAACTTTATTATTATATTTAAATTCTATAGAAAAAAAAAAAAAAAAACTATAATATTATTTAAATTAATTAATTTTTTGGGTTTCAGTTTCTGGTGGCTCGTCTTTTAACAAAGATAATGGATTTAACTAAAATATTTAAAAAAAAAAAATTATAATTAATAAATCAGTATAAAAATAATAAAAACTATAGCATGAATTAAAAACCACTGCATACTCTTAAAATAACTTTGCCCGTTAATAGTCTTTTTGGGATTGGGCCATAGCTTCTTGAATCTTTTGATGTACTTGGATTATCTCCCTCTATCCAAACATAGCCTTTTGGAATTGTAAATAAAACTGTACCAGTGTCTGAATGGAAAAGAATTGTGTCACCCTCCTAAAAAAAAAATAAAAAATCTTTTAGTATATACTGTATTTATATTTATATGAATATCAATACCATCAATAACATACAACAAATTTAATTCTTTTACAAATATTATAATCTCCAGTAGTTGGTGAAATTGCTGTAACTAAGTCATTAACTTGAAAATCTCTTGTTAATCTATTAATTAATAAAACTGCACCTGAATTAATTGTTGGTTGCATTGAAGAACCCTGACACTATATAATAAAAAAATTAAAATTTTTATTAAAATTTTGATTTATATTCATGGATGACTACTAATAATAAACTTACATATGTAAAATCTAAAATATAATATCTTATTAAATAATTAACTAATGTTATTTTAACTACCAACATTAAGAGTGCTCTTCCATCAAATAAATTTTTAATTTCTTGTATTTTTTCATTTTCTAACTTTTGCTTAAATTCATTGTTAGCATTATCATTTTTAAAACTATTATAATAATCTTTGTCCTGTTTATTATTATTATTATTATTACTATTACTATTACTACTATTATTACTATTATTACTATTATTATTATTATTAAGTATTTCTTCTTTATTTATTGTATTTATATCTTTTTTATTATCACTTGTTGTATAAAATCTTATATTAAAATTTTTAAATGGAAAGTTATTACTGAAATCATTATTTTTAAAATTTATATGATTACTGTTATAACAATAATTAAAATTTATATGATTTGTTTTGTATGGTGTACTGTTGATATTTATAAATTTTAATTGTTTATCTGCTATAATATTTTTAAAAAATTTGATGTTCAACCTTTTAATCATGATTGTGGTTTTGAACTTTGCGATAATGTTTTATTGTTTATTTTATTAAAAAAATGAAAAATGAAAAAAATAAATAAAATTTTAAAAAAAATATTTTATAAAAAATAATTTAAAAAATAAAAATTTCAAAATTGAAAAAAATAAAAAAAAATAAAAATAAATAAAAAGTTTTTGAAAAGATAAACAGAAATAATTAATAGTTTTAGAAAACATAATAATTTTTTTAAATTTTTTTTCCAAGAATTAAAGAATAATATATATTTATACCATAAATATTAAAGTAATTTATTATTAAAATGTAATTTTTTATTAAATAAAGATAATTTAATAAAAAAAACTATATAAAATCCATCAATTTTTATCCAATAAAAATGTGTCGGGGAAAATTTAATAATTTTGATAACACCCAAAAGATATAAATTTATTGTGAATATAAAACTAAAATGCAACTATGGAATTATTTTTGAAAATCAAAACTTAGTTTTGATTTTATTTTAATTTTAAAAATTTCTATTATTGGAAATTATAATTGAGATTTGGTTAAAATTACAATTTTTATTTGTAAATAATTATAAAAAATTTCATATTAATAAAACATTTTAAAATATTTTAAAGTATTGGAAAAAAATCAATTTTGAGTAATAACTAATTGATTAATTTAAATTCATTCATTAATTAATTAAATTATTTAATTAATTAAAAATATTGAATAAAAATTTAAAAAAAAAAAAATTTGGAAAAAATTTGTTTTTGAAAAAAAAAAAGTTCATACAAACAGTATGATAAAAAAATGTTCAAAAAAACTTTATTTATATATATTTTTTTTATAACTTTTTTATTTTTTAATTTTTTTTATTGATTTTATTTTTGTTAAAATTTGTAGTTATTATTTTAATGAGTTTAAACAAAAAAATAATAAAACGATGATTTAAATATTTTTTTTTTTTTTTTTTTTGAAAATTATTTTTATAATTGATTTATACACTAGCAATAGTTTCGATTATACCTTCGCTTGAACCTTTATTTTCGGCGGCTAATTTTTCTTGTTTAACTTTATAATCGTAGATGGCTCTTTTAATGGCTTGTTCGGCAAGCATACTGCAATGCATTTTAACTGGTGGAAGTGAAAGATGTTTGGCGATATCGGTATTTTTAATTTCTAAGCATTCATCTAAAGTTTTTCCCTTGACCCATTCGGTTGCTAATGAGGATGATGCAATGGCAGATCCACAGCCAAAAGTTTTAAAACAAACGTCGACAACTTTATTTTCCTTAACTTTAATTTGAATTTTCATAACATCACCACATGCTGGGGCACCAACGGTTGCAGTGCCAACATCAATAGATTTTTTATCGAATGAACCTACATTTCTTGGGTTGTTGTAATGATCTAATACTCTTTCGTGATAATTTCTCTTTATAATTCCGTTATTTAAATTATTATTATTTACTGAAAGAAAACTAGTTGAAGGTCTAATAACTGAATTTGAATTTCTTAATAAACCATTTGAAGTTATTCTTAATGTATTTTTAATAATTGAGTTCATTTTCTTTATTTATTTATACTTTATTATATTATTATTTTTCTATTTTAATATATTATTTATTTATTTATTTATTTATTAATTAATTAATTAATTAATTTAGAAAATATCTTTTTATTAATATGCACACAAGTAAAAAGAAAAGTAAAAGAAAATAAAAAAAAAAAATAAAAAAAAAAGGTTTAAAAAAAACAAAAAAAATAAAATAAAAAAATAAAAAAATAAAAAATATTTTTTTTTTAAAATTTTTTTTTTTTTTTTTTTTTTTTTTTTTTAAATTATTTTAATTTCCAGATACACCTAATTTTTATAATATATAACCATCTTTGATTCTTTTTTTATCAAAATTATATTCTTTTTTTATATAATTATTTTTGATAAAATAGAATAAAATATATCAGATATAAATTAAGATGAGTGAAATACAACCAATACAAGATGAAAATAACACTAATAATAATAATATAGAAAATGATAATAATAATAATAATGAAAATATACAAACAGAACAAACACAAACAGAACCACATAAAGATTCAAAAGCTATATTAGCAAACGGTTTATATTTATTATTATCACCAGTTGTAAAAGAATGCGATGCTAAAATTCAAGAGGTATATTATTCACAAAAAGCATTATCTGACCAAATTGATAGTTTATCTAGAGGTAGGTTTAATACATTAAAATAATTTAAATTATAATAATAATAATAATAGTTATTGTAAAAATTGAAACAATAAAAAATTGTAATTTTTCAGAATAATTTAAATCTAACCACACATATTTTTTTTTTTTTATAATTATCTGAAATAACACACAAATTTTCTAATATTTCAATCAAATAATATTTTTAAATAATAGAACTTGATGAATTTAACAATAATGCACAGGTTCCACCATTATTACCACATATACAAAAACTTTTAAATGCAAGAGGAAGATTATTAGCAGTTAATAGTAAACTTTCATTAGTTATGAGCAGATTGGAAAAATTATCGACTTCCATTAATCAACAACAACAACAAGCACTTTCACAACAACAACAACTTGAAATTCAACAAAATACACATAAATCAGTTTCTGATAGAATTAGTTCTTTATTCAGTGGAAAAAAGACAACACCAACAACTTCAAATGTACAACCAAATAACTAAAGAAAACAAAAAATAAAAAATAAAAAATAAAAATAAAATAATTGTATTTATTAATTAAAAATTGACCAATAGTTTTTCCCTTTATTTTATAAAACTTTGTTATTATTAATATTAATATTTATGTTTAGATTGGCTTTGGTGTTTGATATTTGGGATTATAACTCTTAATTTATGCAGGTGTTTTAATATTTATATATTATAAAATAAATAAAAAAAATAATAAAAAAAAGAAAGATTATAATTAAAACCTATATATACTATTTTTTTAAATTTTATTACAATAATGTTTTTTTTTTTTTTTAAATAAATAACCTTTTTTTCTTTTTTTTTTTTTTCAAAGCTAAAACGATTTTTGAATCTGTGTTTTTTGTCTGTTGTTGTCTGTTGTTGTTGTTGTTTTTTTGTTGTTTTTTGTTGTTTAAAATTTATATTATATTTTATATTTTATATTTTTTTATTATATTATTTATTATTTATTATATATTTAAAATTCGACTTTATTTAAAGGTATTGGTTCAGAACTATTATTACTATTTGTTGAATTGGTAGCACTTTGTAAAATTGAAAAAGCACGTTGAATTTCTTGTTTTTTATCGTCGGAAATATTTTTACTTATAATTAAATCGGTCACTTCAACTCTAAGAGCGGTGATCATCATTTCTTTGTCAAAGATAATGGATAAACACCATTCAAATTCAAACTCTGGATCATTTTCGGCCCCACCAGTGGATTGTTGTCGTTTTGAATGTGATGCAACTACGGTACCATCGGTTTCAAAAGTAATTCTCATACGCCAGCTTCCTCTCTTGTCTCTAAATGGTAAATCTTCAAATAAATTGGCTTTAATAAAATAATAACTTGGTAAAATAATTTTTTGATGGCAAACTTTTAATAATGACATTAATCTACTATTTTCACCGACCTCAGCACCGAGTAATGCCAATAATTGTTGAGACATATCACCTGACCCCTTGATATAGTTTGAAAAGTTGTTTTTAATTCTTTTTTCTTTTTCTTCTCCATCTAAAAGATGTGCCAAGTTGGTCAATACTTGATAAACTACCTCTTCTTTCTTTAGAACTTGGGCTGTTGAAAAACCATGTGATGTTAATGTTGTTAATGATGTATATTTAGAATTATGTTCAAGTAATTGTTCCGATTTTGGTGTTATATTCTCATTTTGTTGTGTTGTTGTTGATGTATTATTATTATTGTTATCTTGTTGGGATTGTTGTTGGGATTGTTGTTGTAAAGCATCTAAATTTTCAGATGATGGGATTGTATTATTATTTAATGATATTGATGTAACATTTGAAAAACTAATATTTGATAATCTATCTAACTTATCGATAATTTCAATCTTATGGCCTAATCTTGGTATATCAGTATGAATAGCTAATTTTTCGTGTGATCTCTTCCAAATTCCGATTGTATTTGGTTTCCAATTTAATGCAACTTGATTTAAATTATTTTTGTGTTCATCTTGGAATTTTTTAGCATCAGCACTTGAAATATCCTGATTGTTACTCTTTGATATATTAGAGCTTAATCTTTTTTTATTTTTAGTTGAATTGTTTGCTTTTTTTGGTTTTGAAGCACATGAACCCATTTTTAAATTGATATTGGTATGTTGATTTTTTGGAAAAAAAATTCGAAATTAAAAAAAAAAAATTAAAAAAAGTTTGTGCACTTTATATTTAGATTTTTTAATATTATTATAAAATTATATTATTTAAAAAAAAATATGATTGACC